GAAAAGTTCGGTAAACTATATAGCACACACATGTGGCGGGGGATGATTCAATGGAAAAAAAGGGTAAATCACAGAGGAGACCCTCTTTGTAACGCCCTGTGATGGAGATCTCGTGCCAACCCAGACCACAAGTAATAGCACAGAAGACTGTACCAGGCGGTACGGATCCGACCAACTGGAGAACGAACACCTGAGCATTTCTTTATGGATCTTGAGCAGAAAACCTATCGCGGCGTAACGTCATTAAAATTAGTGCAGAGCTCAGCTGAACCGAAGTTCGGAGTCTTACAGACGGAAAGAGAAGAGCTATAGTAAGATACTGGGACAGATACAGATGCACTCTGGAAAAAATAGTCTCTAAAATAGTTGTCTTTATAAAAAAAAGTATAGGATAATTCTTTGAAAATGACGATAAAATATAGATATATTTTAATTCTCGGGGACTGTTGTCCTATCTTTAAAAATCCCAAATTATTTTTAAGAAAAATTTTAAAATGTTATATTATTTATAAAAAGCTATAAACGCTATTTATAAAAAACGAAAATTTAGTTTTGGTGTAAAAATAAGGAAAGCAACACACTAAGTACATATGTATGGATATTGGGGCAACCGAACCGCCAAATGGGGTTCTTCTAGTCACGAACGCATATCGGTTATTGCCAGTCGGTTCTTTCCTGGTTACGCTTCGTTGTCAGATGCTAAGATGGCGTTGAATATTTCGGATATGTTGTCCGAACTCCGGATCGGGGTGGGAGGTATGATGCCAGCTGGAGTTAAAGCTCAACAAGAGCTTCATCCAAACATCCAATGTGGGAAAGGGCAGACGATGACTCCCAGGTAATTAGAGTCGACACAAAGGCCATAATTACCCTGTAACTAGGAATTATGAAAATATAATAATAAAAAAGAGAGACACTCTGGAAAAACAGTGAAAAGAATGTAGTCTAGGGCCACCCAGCCACCAAGATCAGACCCGAGCCACCTGACAGTAGTCAATCTTTAATGACTTTTATTCTTGTTTTATATTTGAGTACCTTCCCTGGCACTCGCATTAGACGATTTCCCATGATTGTGTCTCCATTCAGTACTCGCATCACTACTCTCTGGGTCAGGCCTAATCTTTGTCTTGATAATCTTGTCCCATCCATGCTGATTTCTTGTCTGCCATTTAGATCTCTAAGTGCGAGGCAATAAAAACTATGGCAGGGTGTCTAAATTCCTTTCTTGTCTTTTTTACATAAATTTTTTTTTAGTTTTCTTTGCTTGGGAAGAATTCCAATCGCCCTTGGTTACTGGACAATATTATCGGCATTGAGGCAAAAAACAGTTTACTCCTCTTGGAAAAATTTTTTATTTTGATTTTATGAAGACTTTCCTTCACAATAGTTAGTCTTCGAGAATGATACATAATAATACATTGTAGTACAGTTCTGATAAATTCTTATTAAAATAAAAACAAAACAAGAAAACTAAGTTAGGGCGGAAGTGGCGGAAGATGGGGTTTTTCTCTATAGGATCCACAGTAATAGCTATATCTTCCGCAATTCTTATCCGATTCTCAATCGGAGTACCTTAAACAAAATATTTTAAAAATTGAGACAAAATATTTTAAAAATTGTTTGTCCATTTTTCCTGATGGGATCCCTGGGGTTTTCCCCTATAGGGCCCACTGCGAGGGCTATATCTTCCCCAATTCTCATCCGATTCTCAAGCGGAGTGTTTTAAACGATTTCTGGATCGATTCTCCACCATTCTGCATTAAAATCCTGAGACAAAATATTTTTTCAATTTTTTGTGCATTTTTCCTGATGGGATCCCTGGAAATGGCGTTTTCCCCTATAGGGCCCACTGCGATGACTATATCTTCCCCAATTCTCATCCGATTCTCAAGCGGAGTGTTTTAAACGATTTCTGGATCGATTCTCCACCATTCTGCATCAAAATCCTGAGACAAAATATTTTTTTAATTTTTTGTCCATTTTTCCTGATGGGATCCCTGGAAATGGGGTTTTCCCCTATAGGGCCCACTGCGATGACTACATCTTTCCCAATTCTCATCCGATTCTCAAGCGGAGTGTTTTAAACGATTTCTGGATCGATTCTCCACCATTCTGCATCAAAATCCTGAGACAAAATATTTTTTCAATTTTTTGTCCATTTTTCCTGATGGGATCCCTGGAAATGGGGTTTTCCCCTATAGGGCCCACTGCGATGACTATATCTTTTCCAATTCTCATCCGATTCTCAAGCGAAGTGTTTTAAACGATTTCTGGATCGATTCTCCACCATTCTGCATCAAAATCCTGAGACAAAATATTTTTTCAATTTTTTGTCCATTTTTCCTGATGGGACCCCTTGAAAATGGCGTTTTTCCCTATAGGGTCCACTGCGATTACTATATCTTCCCCAATTCTCATCCGATTCTCAAGCGGAGTGTTTTAAACGATTTCTGGATCGATTCTCCACCATTCTGCATTAAAATCCTGAGACAAAATATTTTTTCAATTTTTTGTGCATTTTTCCTGATGGGATCCCTGGAAATGGCGTTTTCCCCTATAGGGCCCACTGCGATGACTATATCTTCCCCAATTCTCATCCGATTCTCAAGCGGAGTGTTTTAAACGATTTCTGGATCGATTCTCCACCATTCTGCATCAAAATCCTGAGACAAAATATTTTTTTAATTTTTGTCCATTTTTCCTGATGGGATCCCTGGAAATGGGGTTTTCCCCTATAGGGCCCACTGCGATGACTACATCTTTCCCAATTCTCATCCGATTCTCAAGCGGAGTGTTTTAAACGATTTCTGGATCGATTCTCCACCATTCTGCATCAAAATCCTGAGACAAAATATTTTTTCAATTTTTGTCCATTTTTCCTGATGGGATCCCTGAAATGGGGTTTTCCCCTATAGGGCCCACGCATGACTACATCTTCCCAATTCTCATCCGATTCTCAAGCGGAGTGTTTTAAACGATTTCTGGATCGATTCTCCACCATTCTGCATCAAAATCCTGAGACAAAATATTTTTCAATTTTTGTCCATTTTTCCTGATGGGATCCCTGGAAATGGGGTTTTCCCCTATAGGGCCCACTGCGATGACTATATCTTTTCCAATTCTCATCCGATTCTCAAGCGAAGTGTTTTAAACGATTTCTGGATCGATTCTCCACCATTCTGCATCAAAATCCTGAGACAAAATATTTTTTCAATTTTTTGTCCATTTTTCCTGATGGGATCCCTGGAAATGGGGTTTTCCCCTACAGGGCCCACTGCGATGGCTATATCTTCCGCAATTCTTATCCGATTCTTAAGGGGAAAGTTTTAAACGATTTCTAGATCGATTCTCCACCATTCTGCATTAAAATCCTGAGACAAAATATTTTTTCAATTTTTTGTCCATTTTTCCTGATGGGATCCCTGGAAATGGGGTTTTCCCCTATAGGGCCCTCTGCGATGACTATATCTTCCCCAATTCTCATCCGATTCTCAAGCGGAGTGTTTTAAACGATTTCTGGATCGATTCTCCACCATTCTGCATTCAAATCCTGAGACAAAATATTTTTTTAATTTTTTGTCCATTTTTCCTGATGGGATCCCTGGAAATGGGGTTTTCCCCTATAGGGCCCACTGCGATGACTATATCTTTCCCAATTCTCATCCGATTCTCAAGCGGAGTGTTTTAAACGATTTCTGGATCGATTCTCCACCATTCTGCATCAAAATCCTGAGACAAAATATTTTTTCAATTTTTTGTCCATTTTTCCTGATGGGATCCCTGGAAATGGGGTTTTCCCCTATAGGGCCCACTGCGATGACTATATCTTTTCCAATTCTCATCCGATTCTCAAGCGGAGTGTTTTAAACGATTTCTGGATCGATTCTCCACCATTCTGCATCAAAATCCTGAGACAAAATATTTTTTCAATTTTTTGTCCATTTTTCCTGATGGGATCCCTGGAAATGGGGTTTTCCCCTATAGGGCCCTCTGCGATGACTATATCTTCCCCAATTCTCATCCGATTCTCAAGCGGAGTGTTTTAAACGATTTCTGGATCAATTCTCCACCATTCTGCATCAAAATCCTGAGACAAAATATTTTTTCATTTTTTTGTCCATTTTTCCTGATGGGATCCCTGGAAATGGGGTTTTCCCCTAAAGGGCCCACTGCGATGACTATATCTTCCCCAATTCTCATCCGATTCTCAAGCGGAGTGTTTTAAACGATTTCTGGATCGATTCTCCACCATTCTCATCAAAATAACAAAATTATTTTATGAAGAAACAGAGTTTTAAACGATTTCTGGATCGATTCTCCACCATTCTGCATCAAAATCCTGAGACAAAATATTTTTTTCAATTTTTTGTCCATTTTTCCTGATGGGATGCCTGGAAATGGGGTTTTCCCCTATAGGGCCCTCTGCGATGACTATATCTTTCCCCAATTCTCATCCGATTCTTAAGCGGAGTGTTTTAAACGATTTCTGGATCGATTCTCCATCATTCTGCATCAAAATCCTGAGACAAAATATTTTTTAGATTTTTTGTCCATTTTTCGTAAGGGGATCCCTTGAAAATGTTGTTTTACGATCGTAGTGAAAATTGGTGTGTCAAAATGTACCTGCAAGGTGTTGCCTCTGCAAGGGTGTAATTATCTTAATGTATTGCTCAATCGCTTGAAGAATTGCAATCAATCATATTATTTCTTATGCTGATATGCCAACTAATCATTCTAATCGATTAGATAATGAAATCCCACTTAATTAATATTTTTATAAGACTAATTTTCAAGTAAGTTAGAATGATAAGAAACACTTTAGAAGATTGAGTGAGGAAAGTTTGCTGCGAAAATTCAAATTCCACTGATTGCAATTCTCAGCTCAACCACCCGGAATCCCCTGCTGCGAGATTAAGTGCCATTATCAATGGTCTTATCATAGAAAAGTGGATTGCAACTTGCCAAAGAGAGATGTGGAATCAGTACCCCTTGGACTTTTGCATAGAGCGGATCGCGAAACTATGAGGAAAATACTTGTTTTTGTCGTTAATTTATTAATCTTAAGGGGTTATTTGGCTGAAGTACCGGCACCATATTTGCTTCAAACTTACAGGTGAGGGTTACAAATATTTTATTTTATTTATTTATTTTTATTTTATTTTACGAAGAAGGATAATACTATTAATAGAACACACTTCTGAACAATGTGGTTTTTAAAAAGAAAAACTATTTTTAAAAACAGATTCCTTGGGTTCTTTAGTATATATATGGTATATTTTAAACTCTTCCAATAATATATTACAGCCTTCCCTCAGACTTGAATTTTATGCCCACATTGGGCAATGGCCACTTGGGCTATACTGTCTATGGCGATGCCATCTTCATGAATGGGGTTTACAATGGAGCCGGAGGAAATAGCAAACGAGCCAGGATCCCCAACTGGCTGAATATCACTACCCAAGTCTGTGATAGATTTGGCTGCACCACGGATGAGGATGTGGCCATCAATGGAACCAGCTACGACATGAACCTCCGCGATGGTTACTTCCGATCCCTGACCACTTTCAGAAGCCTGGGAATCACATTGGAGCAGAGGACCTATCCGCACAAGTTTTACAATAGAGCTTTGGTCTACGAAGTGGTGGCTACCAGACTAACCAACAGAAAGGCGAGAGTAAATTGTAAGTATTTTCTCTTTAATTAATTTTTAAGAAAATTTAAATTATATTCCCTTACAGCCCCTCAATATTTAAAACTAACTCAATACCCCGGCAGCTCCAGTGATGCCTTCCAGTTTGTGGTGGTTAACGATGGCAGTGCTTCTAGCGAAGATTATCGAATCCTTCGTGGCCAAACAGAGATCCTGGAGTTTGAGAAATTCCAGCCGAAACCACATGAGATCTTTGTCTTCTTTAGTGAATCTTTGGAGCAGCCTCAGCAGCTGGAGTGGCCTACCTGGCAAGATCAGTTGTCTCACCGCATTATCATCACCATGGACCGACAGCAGAGTATGGCCCAAAAGGAGCTCCAGGATGTGCTGCAATTGAGCGCCAAGAGCCTTCTTCTGAAACACACCGAATCATGGAACAAGTTCTGGGACTCCGAATTCTCCATCCAACTGAGAGGCGATGATGTCCTGGAGCTGTCACAGATTGTGAATGCCGGAATTTTCTATTTGGCAAGTTCCCTGCCATCGCTGGAGACCAACCAGGAGAACGAGCCCTTCTTCGGCCTCAGTCCCACGGGCTTGGGGCGTGGCAATCTGGAGGCCGACTATCAGGGTCACAACTTCTGGGATACAGAGATCTGGATGCTGCCAGTGGTCATACAATTCGGATACGAGTATGGGAAACAGGTGCTGGACTACCGCACCCGGAAACTCGAAGCAGCCAAGTATCATGCCTATGCTTCAGGATACAAGGGAGCCAGGTGAGAACCACAATCCTACTTAAGTTTTAAAACCTACTAATCTAATCTTGAAGATTTCCCTGGGAGAGTGCCTACACTGGCACTGAAGTAACGAATCCCTGTTGTCCCGAGGTGGCTCGTCATGAGATCCACATCTCCCCGGACATATCCTTCGCCCTGCAAAAGTTCTTTGCCCAATCGGCGGATTTCGATTGGACCTGCGACAAGGCCTGGCCCATTGCCGCTGAGGTGGCCGAGTTCCTCGTGAGCCGAGCAGCCTGCGAGGAGCTCAAGGAGGTCTGCCACTTCCTGGGAGTGATGGGACCCGACGAGGACCATCCCGATGTTGATGACAATGTTTACACCAACGCTGTGGCCAAGATTGCCTTGGACTTTGCCGCATGGGCTGGTCAGATGTGTGGAAATACGAGCACGGAACTCTTCGAAAAGTGGACCCGGGTCAGCAACCGCCTGGTAATCCTGCGGGATGAGGAACTAAACTACCATCCCCAGCATCTGGGTTATGTTCCAAACACGACTGTAAAGCAAGCAGATACCATTCTTTTAGGATTTCCTCTGAAATTTGATACGAGGTGAGGGTACCTAACCCCAAAGCCCATCCCTTAATTCATTCACGTCTCCCCCTCAGCTCCACCCACCTCAATGACCTCAAAATGTATGCCAATGTGACCCGAGAATCCGGACCTGCCATGACCTGGTCCATGTTCGCCGCCAACTACCTGCGCACCGTTGAATATACGCGGGCCCATGAGTACTTTGAGCGGGGCTACAAGAGCTATGTGCGTCCGGAGTTCAAGGTGTGGAGTGAAACCCCCATCGGATACGAGGGATCGGCCAATTTCCTAACCGGAATCGGAGGTTTTCTGCAAGCCCTAATATTCGGGTACGGTGGCTTAGACTTTGTTCGAGATGGCAACAAGACTAACATGATTATGTATGGTTCCATGACCCCACCCAATGTGGACGAGGTGGAGGTCAACTTTATACGATATGGAGCAAGTAACTGTCAGTGGATATTCTCCAATACCCACAACACAATGAATTGTGGCAAGTCTTTGCAGAGGTTCGAGATGGTTCAGGGTGGAAAGAGGACATTAATGGGGTCCTCCTTCAATTGTAAGTTATGACATCCTCATATCTGAAATATCTCTAATCTTCTGTGTTTAGTTTCAGTTACCAAAGGAGATCCACCCATCCATGTTCATATTTTGAGATAAATCCATAAGTGTATTTGAATAAATATGAAGAGAATTACATATTTGGGCTGTATGCTTGGCTGGAGAGTTAAGACATAGTTAGGTATTTAATTAGTACGCGGATTTTGGAAGTATCTATTGCATTTGGTTATGGTTATCTGGGTAAATGAAGTCGCATTCCTTGGTGCCTTTCTACTTAAATTTCGCTATCGAAGAGCCACTGACTCCGACCCCATTTTTGTTGCTTCCACTGAGCACAACGTAGGCGGTTTTGGTCTCCTTTTGCTTCTGCTGCAACATAGTAAGAGTGCCCAGTGGGGTGTCGGTGGAGCTCATGGTTTTCATTAACTAAAAAAGGGAATAATATTAATTTAAAGTCTTAACTTTGTATGAAGGTTAACCTACCCCATCCTGTTCCATTTTCTTGAGACGCTTCTCAATCTTGTTTTTGCCCGGACCCTTGCCATGGAACTTGTGCGACAAGTAGCGGAACGCCTCCTTCAGATTTAAGATGCGACCATTGTCGTCGATGTAGTCCAGCTTGACGTTGGGCTTGAAGGCGTCCTTGTCCTTGAACTCCATAATGGGCCCGGAGTGGAAGCGATCGCGCCGGTTAACCTTGTCGTCCTCACTGGAATAGCAATGAATATAAAAACGAATCCCTTCAAGATCTCGAAAGGTCTACCACTAAGGTCTACAGGTCTAAAGGTCTACACTTACCCAGCTGCCTTGTCCTCGATGGAATAGTTCTTGGCCTGCAAATGGGCCATTTTGGTATTGCTTGGCCGGTTCTTCTCCTCCTTCTCCAGGTAGCCCTTGGACAGGGCCAGGCGCAAGGCATTTGCCACACCAGCGCCCACATCCGGCTCCTCGTCCAGAATGGCACGATCCTCTAGGTCCTCACCCAGATTATCCAAATCGGCGGGCTGCATGACTTCATCGGGATTTACGGAATTCCAAGTTCCATGACTATGAGTAGGCTCGTCATTCGTGTCCATGTGCTCCTCCGATTGCTCGGTCTTCTCAAAGTCCATCATATCGTTGGAGTCCTCGTTACGATTACCCGCCATGCCGTAGGTGGGAATGTCGCCCAGAGTGCGACAAAACTCGGCCGTGGCGTTCAGGACAATGTTGCCATCCACACCGGTGAGAATGACCCCGGAACTGGGCTCCTCCACAGGCTCGGGCTTTATTTCCCGTTGAATGGCCTCAATGTCAATGGGCAGCGGCTTCTTAATAATGTTCTCCTTCTGCTTAAGTTTGCGAGCCTTGGACAGAACCCGCTCCAAGTCGTCATCTTCCAGTTCTAGTTTGATCTCTGGCTTCACGTCCTCCATCTCAGCATCCTCTTGATCCCGATAGCGTCCATGGCGACTGCCAAAGTTGGATGAAGTTCCAGCCTCCGGCAAAGGCTCAAGGTCCTCAGCTTTAAGTTTCTGGCGCAGTTTCTTCACCTTCTTCTTGGGCTTCTTAAACCTTAAAGATTAAAGCAATTATTAGATATAAGATATAAAGGAATAGTATATCCCCTTACTTGGCCAATTCTTCTGTGCTGTAAGTATCCGATGCCAGTTGCAAGTTGGTGTCCTCCAAGGTTTCCAAACGTTTTCCAGCCAGCTTAGTTTTTATCTCCAACAGCTTCCGTCTGTGTTCCTTCTCCTCTTCTACGTTCTCGCCAATCACAAAGTTCTTGCGCTTCTTCGGCTGCCCCTCGATCTCGTCATCGTACTTTTCCAGAACCGAACGCTCGATAGGATTGCCCAGCTCGTCGTACTGCTCCTCGTACACATCGTAGCCGTAACTGAGAGGATTCAGCTTTTTGTTGGCCACGTTCTTCTTGTAGCGCTCTTCGTCGAGCATGTTGACATTGACCAGAGTGTCGCCCTCCTCCTCGTTGAGAACATCCTGATCTTTTAGAGTAAGGATGACTGTTCGTCCTTCGCCGAAGTCATCCATGTCGTGGTCCACCCGCAGACCCTTCAAATTCCTATCGCCATAAGCCTGTTGACGAGCCTTCCGTTTCTCCTGCTCCAGAAGCTCAGATACTCCAAAGGCTTCATCCAGTTCCTCCAATTCTTTGGCCTGTGGAAGGGTATACATTAAACCCCAAAATAAAGTAAACAAAGATTATATACCCACCTTACGCTTGGCTTCTTCACGAGCATCAACCACCCTCTTATTCCTGTCCACCCACTTGGACACATTGTCGGTTTCCTCGTCGGATTCCCCAAGTGTCTTTATGCGAGCCAAACGCTCCTCTAGGAATCGCTTCTCCTTGCGCTGGTTCAGCTTTTCGCGCAGCTTCTCTGCCTCCTTTTTCTCCTTCAGGTTGTCGGCCGGCTTGTGCAGGAACTCGCCCCACTCGTCTTTGTAGGAGGAGAGATCAGCCGTTTCGCCAGAAGCCTTCTTGGCCTCCTGCTGACTGTTGCTGCTTCCGGCGGAAGGCGTCACCTTGCTGGGCCCACTATCTACCTCCAGCGGCTTCAAACCCAGCTTGGCACGGAGTTTGTTGGTCTCCTCGATGGACAGGACATCGCCAGCACCATTTTCGGGTATGGGCGAGAAGGAACGAGAAGAGGTTGAGGGCTTGCGAGCCGCTGACGGCGGAGACTTTGAACGCGAACGTTCGCGGTTCCGCTCCCGCTCCCTTTCCCTTCCAGACCGCTTACGGGCCTCTCGGTCCCGCTCGATCTCTCGCTCTCGCCGGGACTCGTAGTCAGCATGCCTGGAGATTTGGGGCGGAGGTGGAGCAGTAGGTTCTCCTCGATCACGCTCTCGTTCACGTTCCTTTTCCCGCTCCTTGAGGCGCTCCTTCTCTCGGTCCCGGTCTCGTTCTCGTTCCCGTTCCCTCTCCCTATCGCGATCGCGATCCCGTTCACGTTCTCTTTCGCGATCTAGTTGCCTTTCGCGCTCCCTGAGGCGCTCCTTCTCGCGTTCACGGTCCTCACGCTCCCGCTCCCGCTCCCTGTCGCGCTCCTTCTCCCGCTCTCTGAGCTCCCGTTCCTTCAGTTGCTCCCGTTCTCGAGCAGATTCACGTTCCCTGTCGCGGTTGGACGACTCCTTCAGCCTGGTCTGTTCACCCTGCACCGGGACCTCCACACAATCCGAACCTGCAAAGAAGAATCACAGGTTAGAGCTGTCTATCGGAAAGTTGCTGCATCGCTTCTTATATATAACGCATGTGCCGCCTGGCCACTCCCACTCACAATCTGCTCCAGCAGTAGCTGCGCGACACCTGCAAGAAAAAGAGGGAGAAGGGGGCGGAGAACGCAACGATCGGTTTAGTACATCCAGAACTGGGAGAGTGCAGCGCCAAGGCGATTGCCGGGCCCAGGCGGTCCGAAATTGATCAGTTTAATCGCTTTTCCGCCGGATCCGCCGCCAAGAGGCAATCGCCCGTGGTCAAGGCCTGCACTAGTCGCGTAACCAAAAAGGTCAAACACTTACTGTCCGAGTCCGATTCCTCCAAAGAGATGACTTCGCTTGGACGCTCGCGCTCCTTGTGCTTGTGGTGCTTGTGGCGATGCTCGCGGTGCTCCCTGTGTTCGTAGGAGTCCCGGAGCTCCTTATCTTTGTCCTTGTGCTTCTTATGCTTGTGGTGTCTGTGACGCGTCGACCCCGAGTCGTCGGTGAGGTCGAGGGTTGCATCTTCCTCTTCCTGCGAGCGCGACCGGTGCCTGCTCTTCTTGTCCTTTTTGTGTTTTTTTCCAGTCGACGAGGATCCCATTTTTTTCACAAAATATTGATAATTTCACAAAATAAATCGAGGGGACGCCAGTGTGACCGTAAACGCAAGTGGGAAATACCAGAAGTGAAAATTCCATTAACCTTTATAAGGGACCAGCTTTCTATTTAGGTTTAGCTACAAAATATTATTAGAGCTTCTTTTAATATTTAAAATTATGTCGTAATTAAAAATAGATTCAAATTTGATAGGCAAGAAATCTAATTTGGCGCAATATATAGAAAAAAAGTAAATACCAAAAGAAAATTTGGTATTTTTCGGATTCCTCTAACGGTTGCCCATGAACCAATAGTTTTATTTTCCCATAAAAGGGAATTTTTTAGAAAAACTTGACTTGTATTGTATTGTCCGGCAATAATTGTTTGAAATGCTAATGTAAAATTTTTATAAAATCTAGTATTAAGTTTATGGTATAATCGATAAAAAGTAGAGACGGGCACCTTGAAAAGTGACCGGCAAAAGCTTGTGGATTTTTGAATAAAAATTAAATATAAAAAATTGTATTGCTGGAAAATGATTTAAAAAATGTATTTTTTTTTGTTGTCATTTTTAGCGTGTAGTCAATCTATTAATTTTAACTTTTAATATTTGTCCTTTTTTCGGGTAGATGGCAACACTGGCGAGGGACGAACCAAATCTGGTTGCAAGCCAACTCGGACAAGGTTGGATGGCTTCCAACAAAAACGAAGCTCGTATTTTTTTTAGTCGCCCAGTGACTTGCTTGCGACTGAATTCACTAAAATCGGCAAGAAATTTAACAATAACTAAAAAAAAACAAATATCCTTTCGGCGATATTTGCAATCAACAATTCTAGTTAGTTCCGTGTCGGTCCGAGTTCTCCGTCCTCCGAGTGCGTGCGTGTGTATGTGTGTGTAGGTGTTAGTCGCGTGACATGTAAAAGGTAAACGCGACAACAACAACAACAACACCAAAACCCAAACAATCCAAACGGTAGCAACATCCCTGTGCGATAAACAGAAAAAGAAACAAAAACAGCTTAAACAACAAAAACAACAACAACAGCGGTTAGCAAGCAAAAGTTTCGAAATAGTTTTGAACTGGTGGCAAGTGGCATCGGCGATAAAAAAAAAGAAAAAGAAACAACAACATAATTCTCAAGAAAAACAGGTTTTTGAGAAGTACATATGTAGATCGCGGGAGGGGGGGCGGTGGAGGTGTGCAAACATTTACTGCAAATGCGAATTTAGATTCTTAACTGCAGGAATCGTTTGTGCTGACGCACAGTGGTCACCGACTTGCCCCACTGTGCCGCCCCAGAACTTGTTTGCGCTTCACCTGCCTCTTCTTCTTGAGCTTCGGATACCCTTTCCACTTCCCAGAGTCTCCCCAGAATGCATAGATCTTGCATGCAGCGCCTAAAATCAATAGGGAAACTCAAACGGTTTGCTCTTGCCCGAATGAGCCGTTACTTTTCGGGAAATATTTACCCCCACCCCAGCCCCAACCCCAACCCCACTGAGAGCTTCCCACACGGGCCAACAATAATCAGCTGGCTCTGCAGTCGACGCCGGCAGAGGTGGCGACAGCGACGACAGCAGCGTCGAGCGCCTAGCAACAGCAGTTTACCTCTCGAGTCAGGTGCGGACTAAGGGTACACAAGGGCCCTAGACATGAAATTTATATATTATAGAGAAGGTCCTTAAATAAAAACTGTACAGAAAATAAATGTAAAAAAAATACGATTTATTTAATTACTATTTTCGTAATTACGTTATAATATATTCCTCAAAATTATAGATTTTGTTACCTTATTTAAGCTAAAATTGGCTAAAATCAATTAAATATTTTCCAATTCTTGAAAATTACTTTTTTTTCACTTCTCTCTAAAAACTCCGCTCCTGTGCTCTCCGCCGTCAGCTGTGCGGGCAGTGCGCAGGCGCCACACACGAACGTGGTACATCGGCCGCCGAACACCAGCACACGCACACTGCCTGGATCTGGGGCTGGGAGCTGGGAGCTGGAAGCTAGGAGCTGGAGGAGCTACAGGCACCAGCAGCAGCAGGCTGGTTAACTGCCTGACTTTGGCCCGAAAAATTGCATTGCTGGCGTCCCGCTCGCACGCACTTACTTTGGCAGTAATGCCGGAAAATGGTCTGAGCTCTGCCTCTGCCACTGCTACAGCCGTTCGTGGCAGCTGGCAGTCGGCTTTACATAAGCTTACGTCCTGATTCAGTGCCCGGCTGCAGGTCCTTTGCTCAGGTTGTCCTTTTGAGGCGCGTTCTCCGTTCTCCTTGTTCCGGGTATCAGCTGCTGGCGCAACTTGTTCGGCATTGGCTTTTTGGTTTTTCCTGACTTTTCCATTGGTTTTTCCACCGGATTTTCAGTTAGTTTTTCGGTGGCTCTATTACGCTGGGTTCTCGCTGGCAGTGGAAACCGGCTCGCCAAAAGGTTCGTCGACAGTTTTTTTTTTTGTTTTTTCAGCTGTTTGCCGACCAAGAGTAGAAAAAAAGTGGTTAGACCTCTTTTTTTTTATTACACTTTAATTTGTCTTTTTTTTTTTTTTTTTTTGCGCTATTATTCATCTCATTTCTCAACTATTGCTATTTGCCGCCTGCGTGGGCCACTTTCAAAAGCTTTTTTTTTTGCCCCCCGAGTATATGGGGGGCTTCCGTTGCTGTTTTTATTTTTATTATTTTTATTTATTTATTTATTGCGTTTTTCGTTGTCCAAATCATAAAGCCAAAAACCTGATTTTGTGCGCACGGCCAGCCGTAAATCAATTTAACAATATCAACTCGCTCGTAAAAACCGTTTGAAAAAAAAACACATAAATAAATGAATTTATCCATAAATATCCATATATCCATATATCCATGCAGCTGAAGTGTTAATCGAAAGAAAACAATAAAGTTGATGAACAAACAGCCGAAGCTACAACAACAACAACTAGAACGGGGAAAAAAGCTGGCAACTACAACATGTGAGGCAGCAGGCAAGTTGAAATGTTAGCTCTGCCCCTCGAAAAGATGGCCGCCAGGATGTGCAGCATCGCTTGTGCAGTCGCTTCCATCATCTAGCTGCCTTGCCTGCCTGCATTCGCCGAGCTCTCACACAGATACACACCAACCCATACACCCACCACACACACCGATGCAGCTGACAGCCAGACGCTCGCACACAAATGCAAGCAGCCACTCTTAAAGGTGAGTAGTGCTTCCCCGCCGCGTACTTTAAAGTTTTTTAAATTTTAAATACCCTGCAGTCGTAAAATTGGGTGAACCGAGGGTCGTTCGAATTTCCTGTGCAGCACCGTCTGCAGGTACCAGGTAGCAGGTAGCAGTGGCACGAAATGAGTGCGAAAAGTTTGCAAAATTAATGATCCCTCTCTCCTTTACGACGGTGAACTTTTTGCCTTTTTGTGTGGCGATTTTAAAACGAATTAAATAAGATTCAATTATTCATAAATTGAATAATTTAATACATTCCGACACCCAGTTCGTCCTGAAAAGGAATTCATTTCAAACGTATTTTTATTTTTGTAGAAAACCCATCAGTTCTCGGTGCTTGAAATGATTCAAGTGTCAATGTAATTATCGAAAGGCTTCAGATATGGAATCCGTACGTCATTCCATATAATAGCTTTCAAAACAGCGCCATTTTGCAAGGTCATTTAGTGCCTGGAACCAACACCAGATAATTTGTTTTCAGCGCTGGCGATTGCCAAGGGAAATTAATTGAATTTTCTTTTAATTAAATGGGAATTTGGTTACCGAGTGCATCTGATATCGTGTCCCATGTGTCCTGCGATAAAAAAGTGGTCACATAATCTACTTAAAGTGAACGTACTAACTAGTTTTAAGAGGTGGTTCTTAAGAGACTAGGTTGGAATTAGGAAAAAGGTTGGAAACTTTGATAAATGCACTTTTTGAAAGGGAAACCCGAGCTTGTTTGAACATGTCTGTTTCGAAATGAATTAAACTTTAAAATTTTAATTCATAAACTTAATGTAAGAATTTTAAAAGGAAATTCTTAGAAGAATTATTTTTAATATGACTACTAAGAGCTATTTTAAAACTTAGGAGGCAACCCCTTTTCCGATAAGAAAAGGTTTGAAACACGAATAAATCTCAGGGAAATTAAAAATTCACTTTGGGAATTAAAAATTAGAGCGTGTTTGATCGTGATTGTTTTTAAATGAGTTGATCTTAAAGCTTTGTTTTTAAATATATGTATATCGTTGAGAAAATATAGTTCTCACATAAGGAACTCAATGTAAGAATTTCAAAGGGAGTCAACCCCTTTCTTGATAAGAAAAGGTTTAAAACACGGCTAAGTACCCGGGAAATTTAAAATTCACCTTGCTTCATTGAAAACCTGAGCATGTCTGAACATGTCACTTCCGAATTGAATCGAACTGTAAGCTTTGGATTTATTTTCTGTAATACCTAATGATTATGAGACATTTTTTGTTGTTAAATCCTTTCACTCACACCCCTCCCTGAGCTGCTACTGGGGGGGATAATCCCCAAACAAATATATATGCATGGGCAAATGTATGTATTTTGAAACCTCCGTCTATCAAGCCCGTGAAATGTCCAATCAAGAGAATCGCATGATGAATGACCTCAGCATTCCCATCAATCTTACACAATTTCCCCCCGTCCTCTGGCCAGGGCGTATTTGCCAGAAATTCTTTGATATTTGGCGACTCTGGTTGTCTTTTTTTGGGGGCTTGCGTGCTTAGAGCATCTCAAAGTCTAACATTTCTTTATTTTTTTTGCACCGAAGCACCGAAATCTTTGAGGGTAAGCGCGAATTTTTATGACCGCTTGGAGTAGGAATTGGAATTGGAATTGGATTCGGATTCGGAGCCGAGCTCGGACTTGGACCTGGTCGGCAACTGGAGGGCAGCAATCCGACCATCGTTTTAATTTGTTGTTTTTGTTTTTGGTTTTGGTTTTGGGTTTTAGTTTTGGTTTTGGTCGCGAGCGAATGAGCCTGAGCCTGAGCCCCCATTGAAAAAAGCCCGTCAAACCAGTCGGCGTTTTCTGTTTTTTTGCTCTTTCCTAGGCCTCGGCAAACTGGCCCCCGTTGATGACTTTTTACATAGCCGTTGGCCCGAAGAGATACCGACTGAGATACAGAGAGCTAGCTGGATAGCTGGATGGTTGGATGGTTGGATGGCTGGATGGCCAGCCAGAGTCAACTAACAGACACAAAACACACACGTATCTAAACTTGTTTGAAACGTGTTACATTTTAAGAACGTTCGCCGTAAGCGGCAAGTGGCAATAATCCTTTCAAACTTGACAGGGCTGCCATGTTCGTAGTGGAACGCTAAGGGCCCTCCCGAAGTGGGAGTGGCACTTGGCCCTCCACCGATTCGATTCTCTACTCTTCTCTTCTAGATGTTTCTTTTTTTTTTTTTTTAAACCTAGCATACCATAGCATGGGTATCAATGTATCTATGTATCTGGATCTCTATATGCTGGCTGTCAGTCTTTTTGGTTCTGCAGACATTTTGGCTGCCTTTGTTGTTATCAAATGCTAGTATTTTTTTTTTTTTTTGCAATTCCGCCATTTTTCTTTACACAAACAAACAAGCCAACACACACGGGTAGTGGGTGCCTTGTTACCCAAAATCCCAAACAACCCAAACACCCAAAACACCCACACATAATAATAAAGAATGGCATGAAAATGGAAAAAAGTGAAATTGATATTTTCGCACAAATTGCCGTTAACAAGGATTGGAGTCAGAGTCAGAGGAGGAAAAACCTAGGCAACGAAAAATTTCCCTGTCAAAATTTGGTTGCACCAGAATATATATACATACGTCCTCTGCATAAAGTAAGAGAAATGGTATAAAACAAAAAACCATATATCCACATAGGCCACAAACATTATAATAAACCAATTAATTAAATTACAAACTAAAAAACCCAAGCCCCAAAAACAGTTGTTATTTTACAAACACCAAAACCATTCATCTCATAAGCAGCAAAGAAACCACCTAAAATGGAGGGACACCCAAAAGACGAGGATCCACACATCTCAAACACAGTGCACCAGTCAGTAACACAGATAAGCGGCCACAATGGCCGTCATTGTTCCAAAAACCATAAAAAACCCAACCAAAACACCAATAACCATCACAACGAACGCAAGGAAACACCGCCCGCCCACTAAACCCAAAAAAGGGCAAGTCAGATGCTAAAACACGTCAACCAACCAACAACGGACAAGCCATATCAACTCAGGAGGGATCCATCAAAAAAACTAAGGGTCGGAGATCCTCTCACACTTTAAAAATAAACCTAAGGTATAAAAAAACGGTTAGGTGTAAACGGGAAATTGTTTACCGTGGTTCCAAAATGATGTAATTTCGCGTGTTCGTGCAATTCAATTTCCTGCCAGCGGAAGCCCCTGTCGCTCTGTTCACCCATTGAAGTCAAACAGCCATTCCCGGTCCCAAGTCTCGGTCTCCTCCACACAGCCAGAACTCCCCCAAAAACCCACTTTAGTATGTTTTAAAATATGGATATATTTTTGGGGAACTTTAATTGTCCCCAAACCATAGTTCGTTGAGCATACAGTGCCAGAAATGTATGTATGTTGATTTGGCAAAAGCCAAGAACATAAATATATAGCACCATGTCCGATTCAATTTAGCTGAATTCGCCATCTCCGACATCCGACGGGTCAATACAATTTAAGTTAATTCCCTGGCGGATATGGCTTCTTTCACTTGAAAGTCAAGCCAAGACCATCCGATGGTATTCCCCTATTTCAAGACCTAATGTTTTCGATAAATTTTAAGCTTATCTGAGCTCTTAAGCCCCGAGTCTGGAAATCTGATTATAGATTCCTGGAAAATATTGTTAACTTCAAGAACCTAAACAAATAATTTACAAAAGTGTATGCAGAATTCTGTTTACTTTGGTATGGCCTCTCAAAAAAAAATATATACTTTTGCCATATTTCGCATAAATAAATTATATTCCAAAAGACGACCCCCGGCTTGTAGCTGGTCCGGCTCGGCTTCGGGCCTGGCCTGGCCTGGGCCGGGCATTGCCTATATTAACAATAATTCCTTTGTGCCCGGGCATCTTGCCAAAAAGTTCGGTTACCGCCTGCTCCTGCACAGCAGGCGACGAACGTTTTGTGGCCAATTTCCCGTACCCAAAGGCCGACTTTTTGTGTGTGTGACCCATTGTCAGGCAAAGTCAAGCCGGACACAAGGCCTACACTCGCTCTCCGCCCGCTGGGTCCGGTCTCGGGCCCGGTCCTGGGCCCTATGACGTTTTGTCTAGAGTTTAAATGCAAAAGTTTGCAGAATGCCCGAGAAAACAGTAGAAAACAAATGGGGCACTGGCTGGGCATGGGGGCTGGGGGATGGGTGATGGGGAGCCAGGGAAAAGTCACAAACTTTCAAGCCTGGAAAACAACAAGCAAAGCGACTGGAAGCTCTTTGATTGAGGGATTTCGGTGAGGCTTTCAAAACTCACTGACCTATAGGGACTTAAAAGAAGTACGGAAGGGTATGGTTTCCCAACGCTATGATACCCGGTACTCTTGACTAGCACTCATAAAATAGGATACTTTTGGGTGCTTTCAAACAAGCCACTTACTATAACTCTTCTAATAGCCAGATTTGTTCGATTAGATGTCCGACTGTCCTATAGGAACGAGGACTTTATAGACCTAAAGGAAGTACCAACGGATATGATACCCGGTACTCATGTCTACCGCTCAACAGCCTTCCTTCTATGAAGTTTACTTAAAATGGCATACTTTTGGGTGCTTCTAAGCTTACTATAACTTCTCTAATAGCCCGATTTTCCCTATATCTTGGATATAAACTAAGCTTAACCCCTACAAGTACCGGGTATAACTACAAGACCTTAAACTATTAATTTTAAATACCCAAAACTATTTTATTCCACAAGACACCTTGCCTTTTTAATGGGTCGGGACATGGAGGAGGACATGGCTTGGAGCAGAAACATCAAAGAAATTTACGCTGGTTGTTGTTGTATATGTAGTAGTATCCGCCATTGAACCGCAAGGTGGCCAGATTGTAGTGCATGGTGCCGGCCATAGAGGGCTCCACCGAGACAAATCGCACCGGGGACGTGGTAAAGTTGAGGGTGCGATAGAAGAAGGCGGTGAGGAAGCTGGCACTGATCACAAACGCCACAAAGAATCCCAGGCAGAAGACACAGTCCTTGTTCACCTGGAGGCAGAGGCAGAAGGCGGCGGCAAAGTCGCCGATGGTCCGCTTGATTCGGGCCCACAACGTTTGCTGGACCAGGGGCGGATTCGGGGGCATGTTGTTGCCACTGATGATGATCGTGTGCTGGATGCGTTCGCAGGGCGGCAGGTTCTCGCCCTGCACGGTGGTCACGTCCAGCCTCAGCCTGCCGAGGTGGTGGTGGGGAATCAGCTCCGTGGTCTGGGTGCCCAGGTGGCTCAGTTGGGGCATTTGCAGAATCACCGTCGGCCTCGCCGGGCTTCTCGACGATCGGCGTCGATGTTTCCTGTTCGCCTCCTGGAGGGCCATGGAGTCCATGTTGTTACCGAAGCGGTAAAGCATCTCCAGGATGTTGTGCAGCCGCCTGTTGGAGGTCGTTTCTGCGGAGGACTTCTCCTCCTTGGCCTCCAATTCGTGACTGGTGCCGGGGACGTCGTCAATGTTGAAGGTGACATGCCTGGAGAGGTCGGGACCCTTGCCCGGTATGTAGACCACAACATCCATGCCCGGACCGCCGTTCGCAGCCGCCAGATGTCGTATTTGGGCCGAGTCCCCATCTGGTGGCTGGTCCACCGCAGCATCTGGTCCAGTTTCTGGTTCAGAATGATTACCCTGCGGAAGATCCTTTAGGGTAAGGCACGAACCTGAATGCTGTGACTCTGTTTCTGTGGACTCCACATTAACATCTGGCAGATACACCACACAAGAGTGGCTGGGGCGATCGTCATCCCTTGATGCAGATCCTCCTCCTCCTCCCTCCACGTCCACACATATTGGCACATGATCCTCTAGATCAGTTTTGGACGACGAGTGATCCTGTTCCTGGTTCTGATCATCGTTCCGTTTGTCCATTAATGTGTCGGCTTTTGAAAGAAACTGAAAATTTTGGGCGATTGTTTGTACCAATCGTTGTGACAGTTGCCAAACAGACACGTCACCGGAATAATGTTGATTTCGGTTTGGTATAAGGAAACATTGGAAACATTTCAAAATTTCATCTGTGGACGCGTTAAGTTTGATGGCGGGCAGAGGGCCACCACAGACGGCGGTTGTTGTTAACTCGCTGATTGGCGACTTGGTTCAGGATGCCGTCAACGAGCCGCTCAAGCTCTCCGAACAGCCGTCCACCTGCCGGCGGCTCTTTGACATACTTGGCTTCCAGCCGGCGGATGAGTTCGAGGACGACGAGGATCCCGCTACCGGCAGTGTGATGGCCAAGTCCAGTTCGTGTACTCTACAGAACACACCGAATCCTGCTCTCAAGCAGAGGAACTGGCACAGTTGGATGACGAAGGCATTGGCGGAAGGTGAGATCCACTACTACTGATAGGATCTGAAATCTAATCTGTAGTCTGTAGGGAGTTCGGACGATGAGGTTGAGGTATTCAAGAAGCCCTATCGGCCCAAGGTGCTCGAGACAACCGGCGTGCAGACGGAGCAGCCGCGGCTGAGGAGACAGGAGCCGGAGGCAGTGCCTGTAAACGCCAGCGAAGGCCAACCGGGATCGGGATCGGGACCAGCACCTTGCGAGCTGACCCGCCAAACGATCTTCATCGATGCCGTGGCCGTTCCCATTCCCAATGTGCTGGGTCGGGCGCCGCTGGCCGATCGCTTCTGCTACATGCTGACGGACTTTGCCTCGGCGCTCTACTGTAGTCTCGCCATCATGTGTTGTTGCACCCCCAATATGTTGCGATAAACCCCGCCGTTACCCAGTTCTCTGCTCTGCCGGGTTACTTCTACTTGTTTTGTCATTTATTTGAGAGTGAAACTAAACCAATCTTAATGCAAATATCTACTGGGGATGGGCCTTCACCAGGTCGCGCTTCAGGTCGATCTGCTGGCTGACGTTCGTCTGCAGGAAGGTGTAGTAGTGGCCCATCAACAGATAGAGGCACCACAGGCACAGGACAATGAAGAGCACGTAGGTGAAGTTCTCGCCAATCATATAGGCGCAGGCCATTATCGTGTCTGCCGTCTGGACGACCACCTGCCACATCCTCTGGCGCAGCGGAGGCCTCTGCATTGCCGTTGCCGATGTCACCGACTCCACCTCGATGTGGATCGTGTGCTGCTGCAGCTTGCTCGGCTTGTCGATGTCCACCTGAACGGAATCGCCCACGCCCGCCTGGGCCAGCCTAGCCTCCAGCTCCTTCACGTCCGCCTGCCGCTGCTCCAGGGCGCTCCAGGAGGTCTGGCTGCTCACCTCGCAGGTCACCGCCTGGCTGGAGTCCGCATAGGGCATGATCGTGCACTCAGATAATTGCATTAGGCTCGATAAAGATGTTTTATATAAATTCTGGTCGCCGGCTAAAATGAAATTTAAAAATTATTATTTAATATATTTTAGAAATAGTAAAAGCTATATAATAACCGGTACTCTTTTTGAAGGTATAGCTATCTCTATTTTACTGAAAAGTATCTATGAGTTTGGAAACTATACAATTTATCAATAAAGGTAGCACTATTTATACCATAGTTTGCATAGGTGGTGTAAAATAAAATATATTATTTATAAAATGAATAATATAGTTTGAAGTACTATATAGTATATGATATCCAGTACTATTCACTATACGTAGTAGGAAGGTATTAACTGTGGAATACTATATAGTATTTAATTCCCAATAAATCATGAAATATTTCTACTAAAATTCTGCTTTAAATGTGCAAATGTGCAATAAATATTAAGCTTTCAATTTTAAAACTAACTAGATAGTTCGCAGTAAGTCCTTTTTTGGGCCTATATCACTACTTACAAACTTTATTGGATTTTAATTATTTTGAAACATAAAAACTGCACTAGCAAAGAGCTAAGAGTACTTTCATGTAAATAATTAAAGTTAATTAATCTTAATTTGGTTAATTAAGACTGACAACCCTAGAGTCTAGGCTCAGTTTCCGGCCAACCAAAAAAACAGCCAGTTTCCAGATAATCTTTAAAACTAAAGAGTAGACCTACCTTCCTTCCCGGTAAACTGTTCCGGGCTGCCGCCATAGTGCTCGCTCCCAGTCTCCAGGATCTTGTTGTAGTCCTCGAAGAGGTTGAGCAGCTCGACGAAGCGCTTGGTGATTTGTTTGTGGCTCAGGTGAATCTCGGTGAGGTAGCCGAATACTTGCTCCTGCGACACCTGCAGATCCTGCAGATCGGCTTGTTGGTCGGAGCTCCAGCCCAAGTGCTGAGCTTCAGATGCCTCCACCTGGCGCTGCTCCGTCTGCCCAACCTCCTGGGTGGCGCTACCATCTGGGGGACTCTGGCTCGTTGGATTCAACATGACGGGTGCGGAACTGCAATCGGATTTTGGTCTTTGGGTGTGTGTTTTCAAATGTAAATCATAAATGTGTGAAAGTGCGAATACTTCCGGAGGAAACCTGTGTACAAAATGGAATGAAGTTACTCCCAACCCGGTCGTGTCATTCGAGAATTTTGTTCGTTTGACTATCTGGCAAGGGGTTGCTTGTTAGCCCGGCCAAGCCCAGCCAGGAGCAATTGAGTCCCCCGTTTGGCCAGTGGATAATTTTTGCGCTAAATTAAGCAATTTTCTACATTGCCAGGTCGGCCAGGCCGGCAGGTGGCTGGCGGCTGCCGACCGGACTAGAATTCTCTGGCCGTCAACACTTCCTCTGGCAGGACAGGAGCTCGTCGATGGATTTTCCTGTCTAATATGACAATTATAACGGTCTAGTGCACTGATGTTATTTTGCATAAATGCATTTCTTTTTGCCAACTTGAATCCAAAGGGTCAGAGGCCAGGTAAATGGGGTTTGAATGGCCTCGGAGCATACAAAGGGGCTAAAAGAACCGGAAAAACGGTTATGGAAGTCAAGAATATGTCCTATAGAGAACTCTTTAATACACCTTTTAGAAAATATTTAATTAACTTTGATTTAATCAGCTTCCAGAGCAGCAAATTATTTTCCCAGACATCTGGAAACATTTTAAATAGTTTCCCAAACTTGTTGGATGGCCAAACACAAAAACAAAACGAAACTGAAACTTTTTGGTTCTTGCCCCCCAACCCATAAATTGGCATTTTATTATCAGATGGTTTTTTCCCCATTTTGGCTGCAGAACTCCACTACTCCACGACTCCTTCCCTGGAACTTCAACCACAATTTCCGTTCAATTGCGAAAGGCTGTCTCCGTATATTTCATAATTTGTTCGGAGGGAAACTTTTCGATGAAACTCTATTAAAGCGGAGGCATAATAAATTCATGGAATATCTCTGGAACATGGACTTTTTTTTGGGGAGTGGGTGGTGTCCACTGCGAGCACCTGCTGCTCTGGGATCGGGTCTGGGATCCATCTTTTGGCCCGGCCATTGTTATCATTTAAAAGGCTTAAGTGCGCCGAAGATTTATATTTATATTTGAAAGGGAAGGAATAAAACGACAACATAGCCCAGCCAGTAGCTGTGGCAAGTGGCAGTGGCAACATCAAGGGGGGTATAGGGGGGGAATCTCGGTCCATGCAACGAGAAAATAAGATAAACGTACACTTTATTGATTTTCCTCTCGTGTGTTGTTTGCCTTTGGATGCTGTTGCCAGGCCATCCACATCCACTGCGTTTTCTCCCCCTTGTCCCTTGTGTCCTGTGCACCCCGGACACTCCATGCCCCATCCCCCATGCCCCATGCCGTGCGCTTTGTGGCGCAGTTTTGTCGCCTGTCCAAAAAATGGGGAGTCGGGTCGGAATGGCTTAACTGGGCAGCCCAACGCCTGCGCTTGATTCATCTGCCAGTTGATTGGTATTTGTGCGAAAGTGTTGAAGCAGAACAACTGGGATTGAGTGGCCGCCATCCGCCATCCTTCATCCTCCGGCTCTCGCCCGCCGGCCTGTATGTTAAGCCCTATTTGTGTTGCCTACTTTGAGGCGCTCCCCAGCTTCCAGCTCGCGCTGTGCTTTTCAGATAGACTGGCTCCGAAGCCTATTTCGCAAATGAATTTTATAAAAATCCCAATTAATGAAAAATCTACCCACCTTTAAGTGAAATTAATTTAAATTCCATCGTTGGGCAGTCCTTTCTGGGCAACCTTCTGGTTTCTCCCCTTTTTTTGGCAATCTTCCTGATTATTTTTGGCTAAAAATGTTGTCGCGCGGCCTCCTTTTGTAGATTTACGAGGTGTTGCTGATTATTCTCGCCGGCACACAGTAAATATTCGAATATATATCCCGAAAGGATACCCCAAGAGGACCAAAACTTGGAAGCAAATGGAGTAGGCGTCCTGGCCGTTGCCGTTGCCAAAAGTTGCCAGTCGCCGGTTCGGACTTTGGACCAGCAGCTCGTAAATAATATTTGTTTAGAGATATTTTTGCCTTAATGCTTGTTTGTTTCCTATTACTCTCGGCCGGCTCGTTTATCATCTAGTTGGTTGCAGGAGCTGCAGGATCTGCAGGACTTGCGGCGCAGGAATGGCGCAGCATGCATTCAATTAGCGCCTGGCAAGAATTGGGATTTTCATCATCAGCCCTATTATCATTATGCTCATAATTTTGCAGTCTGTTTTCTGGTAGAATGCTCTGCCAGATTGCCAGATGCTATTCCTGGTTATATATCACATTAATCTGGCTCTCAGATTTAGGTTGCTGGGGGTATCTTAGTTTAAAGGATGTCTGTGGCACTTTCTTGAGGGAAAAAACTAATTTAACGGAGAAGAATAAATTCTGATTGTTGTCGGAAGTGGTTAGCTCTCAAGACGAAGGACGAAGAAAGCTCCTTTCTGTTAAACAAACAAAGTGTAAGTTTGTGTCACACTCGCTTACACCTGCCGGAGTCGGAGTCGGAGTCGTCAAAGCGCTGTCAAAACGCTCCTGCCACTCTTGTCTTGCCACGAGGTAAGAGGTAAGTGAAATTTCCGGGTGAATCCCCATCTCCCATCCTCCATCCAGGTTGCACTTGTGGCAATCAGTGGCTGGGTATTTTCTCACCTAGCCACTTTGCGCTCAGACACGGCCCGCTGCTGGTTAGTTGGCATTTAATGGCATTTGACACTCTCGACGGTGTCCGGACAAGACACGGGCTACAAAAACATCACCAGCAGGAGCAGCACCATCACCAGGAGCAGCAGCAAATACACAAAACAGCGCAAAAACGTATAAAAAGGACTCTGGAGACGTAATGGTTGGAGAAATATTGGTTGGAAAATCGATAGAAAGTGGCTTAGAAGGGGCACCAGGCTGCATGGAGCCGGTCGAGCACTTGCCTAATGAAGTTGTTTCCCTTAAATGGGCAAGGCATCGAAAGGACACGGAATGGAAGTGAGGAGCAGGACTCGCAGACAACAACAATAACAACATCAATGCACTTAATGCCTTTGTTTGCTTAACTTTATTTGATGTCCTTGCCTTGCCTTATCTTGCTTATTTTCCCTGCATACATAAGGACTTTCCCTAAGGACTTTAATTTGCAATTTCATCAAAATTTCAGACCTTTGTCAATATCCTTTCTTGTTATATTTTATTATACTTTAAAATAATTTTATTTAGTTGGTTTTTTAGTATTTTTATTCTACGAGAAAGGGTATCTAACTTTTGGGTGTCTTGCTTTTTTCTGCTGGACTTGGTATTTGTTTTCCAGCGATGACTATGTTGTTTACAAATGAACGCAGTTTACGCAGCAGTCAGCAGCACGAATAACAGGATACAAGGACTTCGTCCAGCCCCAGCCAGTAGCCAGTACATGTTGACCACTCCAACTAGGACAAAAAATAAAAATATAGGAGGAAAAAAAAATAGAACCTACAGAATAAATACACAAAAAAATAGAGAAACTCGAGCTCGAGTGTAATGCATTTAGCGTTTCTCGTTGAGAAAATATTCACCATGGTCCTGTCATGCCTCGTACCGGATACTTTGCTTATTTTGCGGTCAAATTAATGCAGCAGGAGCAGGACCAGGAGACAGGACCTTTGCGAGGTATGAGGAACGAGGAGGGCGGGACAGGACCGGACCGGACTGCCAGGATGTCTGGAACCCGTTCACGGGGCATGTATTTTTAATTAATTGCGTGCCCCAAGCTGCCTCCTACCCCCCTGGGCCCGGGACCGAGACCAGATGAGTGGCAGGAGCTGAGTTGCTGCCTCGGCCGTTGCATGCCATGTCCTCCCATGTGGCCGAGTGGTCCGAGTTCGAGTCCTTGTTGCTCCTGTTCTCTGATACTTGTATGGGTTGATGTTTATAATTTTTTCTCTGGAGGGTATACCTCATCCTGTAGGGGAAGGCTACTAGCTTTAAGAAAGAGTATGTACTTCCCACTCTTTTTTTAAAAAAAAGTTCTAGAGTTATAGCATCGATATTGCAACTTGCTGGAATGTAAAGAATCTTTTGATTGACTGGCTTGGTAAGGGTGTTCCATTGTCGGTGGGATTGAATGAAATTCCGACTTGTTGTACCCATTGTGTTGGCCCCGATCTGACCGCAAGCCGATGCCGCCGCCACCGCCGTCACCAGCAGCGCTACATCATTTGTGGTTAATTGTAATTAAAGTTCAGTGGTATGCTCCAACGCACACATGTTGCCCTCCACCTCCCCACCCCAATCCCGGTCATATCGGAACCACAGACACCACACCACCACCACCAGGCAGGGCAGAACATCCTGTGCGAGCTCAGCATTCCGTGTTCATTATGTCACAAGTAAAGCAAACAATTTGAAACAATTCGATACGCCAAACCGACTCACAGACAAACATATATAGTAAGGAGTCTCCTCGAAAGCACCCCGACACCCTCCAGTTGTCTGTCGACCTGTCTCCGTCTAATTTCGGCAAACCAAATTCCTGTTACGATAATTTAATACGATTACCCCCCCCCCCCGCCCGAAACAATGCCGGAAACGAAAACCAAGACGCTCTGCAGCCCCAGCCCTGCTCTCGACGATTTGGAAGAGGACGACATCAATGCCGCCACCAATCGACTTGTGACCCGCCCACGTCAAGAGTCCCGGTCCAGGCCCCGCCACTCCCACTCCCACCATCCCAATAATGGCAACCAGGGCCAGCTCCCGGCCCAAGGCCATCGCAATGCCGGCGGCCTTACGACCAGACAGGAGGTGACGCTGAAGGCCGGCGACATGCGAATGGCCCGGATGCAGATCAGCCTCTCCCAGCTACGCACCGAGATGGAGGCGTCCAGCAAGACGCTGCGGGACCTGGCCAAGATTCTGAAAGTGGACGTGGATGCCGAGTGATATTCCTTGGGATTTCAGTTACAGAGCTCTTGTTTGTGGATAAATAAATCATATAGAATCGTCTAAAAGAACTAGTATAAGAGATAGATTTAAAGGGGGGATTTAGTAATCTTTATATTTAAGCCCTTTAATATTAGTTCAAAGCTTTAAATTATTTTCTGATATTTTCCAGACCCCATGCCAATTTCATCTTGGAATCTCCGACCTACAGCCACCAAAAATCATTCCTCTGCTGATCCGCATAAATCACTGGGACAGACAGGTACATATATTTTAAATACATATAGTATACCTGCAGACACACCTGCATTAATAAATCCGCAATTCCTTCTCTTAATGACCCGACCCCGAGTCCCTTTGGCGCGTGATGGCTTGATTTAAATTAAAAATTTATTGCATATTTTTTTGCGTCCGCCCACCGCTGCAGATTGGCAGTCGGGGGAATGGGGGAAAAAATATGCATATGTGTATATTTAAATGAATACAGGTACAATGTACATACCGGCATGTGTGCATGTGTGTGTATAAATTAAATTTGTGAACGCTTGCGAAGTCGCCCCGGGCTAACAACCGGCAACATGCATGAACATGCCATGAACTCAAATTTGCAGCGCCAACGGGTTAAGGATGTCCTGCCCCGAGGGCTTCGCCTCGCCGAAAGCCAGCAAGGAGCTGGCGGGTGGTGGGTGCTCGCTCTGCTGAGTTAAGGGTCTGACATCCTGCCGTCCTGGCGGTCTGTCGGTCGGGCTCTTCAGCAACCGTTTTGATTACTCGCATGTTTTCGCGTGCAACTAAATTAGCGCACGTGTAATCAAGTTCTTTTCGCTGAAAACAACGAAAAAAAAAATGAAAAAAAATAAAGAAAATGTACACAGAAGCTTGTGGGGACTTCCTTTTGCTCCTCCAGTTGGTACACACACACAGGTCGGAGCTGGGAGCTCGGAGCTCCCCCAACTCCCATCCATTAACTGCTGTCCCCTCGACTGGCTGGGTCGTCAGGATGTTTAAAGTAAAGTAATTGATGTCCCCTCGGATAACATATTTTGCCAAGCTGGAAAAGTTCAAGCAGGATAATAAATCATTCCAATCATATGAATTGTTTGGCCAAGTGACTTTAAAGAGACTTTCCAAGAGACAGTCTTTTACTTTAATTTCTTTTCAAATCTTTCCTATGACCTTTTCAACTTATAGAAGCTCTATTATCCCATATAGAGCTCCCAAAATAGATACCATGTGTACATTGCACTTGGATATATTTACAGCACATGCTCTCTTTTATAAAGTTGATAAAATATTGGACAAGTGGCTCCGGAAAATGCAAACACATGCCCCCTAATCTAAGAACTGGCCTTTACCGCGTAATATGCTCCCATTGTTTTATTTTTATTGAAAATCTGGTACGTTAACACAATATGGTGTGTTAGCGGGCGATAACTTTTCCATTTACGAACACTCTGGCGCTTAGTTGTTTGTTTATCAAGTACTCCAGAGTGCACCGAAACTTGCCCAGGGGTATGAACTTTGGAAAGTCCTCTTCATCAAAGCTCATATTATTCAGAGCGTAGTCTACGTTCTGGAAAGCAGCTATCTTAATAATAATTTAAACATGCAGCAGACATACTAACCGGCTCGAAGGGGCACTTGAAGTTGACGCTCGAGTGTTTCTTAACACCTTTGGCGTAGATTTTGAAGAGTCGATTGGTCTGAACGTTGGCCAAAAAATAGCACATATCGAAGGTGCCATCGTAGACCTGAATTTTCTTACTGTTCGGCTTCCAAAAGTCCAGAATAGCGTGCACCGAGAAGTCGTTCACAGGGTTCTTGAAGATCTGACTCGAGTTGTAGTAGCTGCGGTTGTTAACCTGGAACAAGTCGCAGTCCAACTTCTCAAACACCTCCGGATCGATATTCCTCATTTTGATTTCATCGATGACTATTTGGAAGTTGCGTTCTTCGGAGAATGCGATTTGGAGAAGGCTTAAAAAACAGATCCAAAACCAAAGGCGCATGGTGGTAGAAACTGGAACTTGCAGTCAGTATTCCACATTCGCTATTGTTTTTATACAAAAAAGAGAATGGACTTTAAAAGCATTTACCTCTAATTTGTCTGCTTTTACATTGCACGTCCATAAAACTGATTAAAGGCATTAAATTAATAAACCATTTCGTAATTAATAACATTCACTAAATGCGCAAAAATATTTATTCCAAAGGGCAGACTCTATGATTAACTGAAAGTTCAAAAATATTTATCCATATTTACTGATGTCCAAGTTGTATCTCAATGTGGAACGATTCTGCCTTTGATGACCAGGCGGGCACTCAGTTTCTGGTTAATGAGGAACTCGATAAGGTTTCGAAACTTTCCCAATGGAACATTAGCTGGAAAATCCTTTTCATCAAAGAACATTTTCTCCAGGCTGTAACTTTCGTTCTGCAAAAACATATTTTTTAAACTTATTATAGTTTTCTTAAATAACTACTTACTGCTTTAAAAGGGCACTTCATTTCGGTGTTGGAATGTGCCTTTACGTTCTTTACAAAGATATTGAGCAATCGATTTTTTTGAATATTGTTTAGAAAATTACAAACATCAAACTTCACATCAAATATTCTCATTTTCTGATTGTTTAACTTCCAAAACGCCAACTCGGTGTGGATCCAAAAGTCATCGATGTCGTATTTAAAGATACGGGTAGAGTCATAGTAGCTGCGGTTGTTAATCTGGTGGAGTTGACAATCAAACCTCACGAAAACCTCTGGATCAATATTAGTAATATTGACTTCATCGAGCACGATTCGATAGTTGCGTTCATCCATAAAGGCATTTACGAAAATGAAAACGCCGCAGATACAAAACCACTTGATCATGGCTGTAGCTCTCGACCCACTAGATCGAAGTTCATCTATTTTCATAAAAATTACCAAAAACTTTGGTTCGGAAATGATTAGATTAATATTAAATAATTAAATAAATAGGATGTAATTTAACTGTTTAATCAAAGCGTCTGGTTTTAATTTGCTTTTTTCAGTAAACTGATTTTTATTGTTTAGGATTTTTAAATAAATTTTCAGCGACCCTGTCGAGGACGATGTACCTTTCCAAAAATAATCGTTTGCAGAGCCCTCCTTTTATTAATAAATATCAAGCAATCTGACTTGAATTTCATTTCCGGCGCATACATCGGTATCAGGCTGGTATCAACTGTGAAATTATCCAAGTGATATCGGGTATTCTTAAAACAGAATATGGCATGTGTTATTCAAAGTCAAAATGAGTCGAAAACTAGTTTACTTACCTTTTTGAAGGGGCATCGAAGTGGAAAGTTAGACACACGTCGCAACTCATCGGCAATTAACTTGAGTAGGAACTGTGTTTGTATAGCTTCCAAGTCGTGACAAAAGTCAACGTCTAGTTTCAGGTAATTGGTAATTGTCGATCCTCTTATTAAGGAAAATGAATAAATTCCTGTCGAATTATTGACATCTTCAGTCAAAGTGAACTCGGCTGAGAATAGGCCACTTTTGTTATACTCTCGATTCACTTGACAACTCACATTTTGGGCTATGTCGGGCAAGTAATTTTTGCACTCGACCGTTGTCATAATGACTTCCATCTTAATAAAAACTATATATTTTAGAAAATTTTGTTTCTTTTTTAGGGATTTTACAGACCTTGGATCTCGCACTTAACAAGATAGATATCCTTAAAAAAAGTATTACTCCTTTTAGGAATATTTTAGCTTTCATATCTCTCCTCGTTAACTAACAAATTATAACTACCTTTGACATAGATATTTTTTCAATAACGAGTCCAGTTTTGTAATTGATTTTTAATGATTTTTTAATAAGACTTTCTAAATCTATTAATTTTAAATATACAAAAACAAGTAATAAAATATTCTAGTTATTCGTTATCCCAATGTAGACAGATTTTTTTTATTAGATCGTGTGCGATTAAGGCTTCCATAAATTGTCAATTGGAAAGCTTGTTTCCGATTTATAAAAATCATGCAGTCCGATATGAAGCTCAGTTCCGGAGCATAACTTGGTATAAACTTGGCGCTGATTGCAAATCCATCAATATGATAGCGAGTGTTCTATAAAATGAATTCAAATATTAGAAGGAATATTTTTAAAATGTTTTAGTTCGTACCTTTTTAAATGGACAACTCACTGGAAAGTTGGCCACTCGCCGGAACTCATCTGCAATTAATCGAAGAAAGTGTTCCGATTGCAAAGTTTCCAGGGCCTGACACAAATCCAGATCCACAGAAGTGCGATTGCTCATAAACGAGCCTAGCCTTATTTTAAAAGTGTAGCTGCCCCTGGTGTTCCAGACATCGTGGGCCAAGGCAAACTCTGCGGAAAAGGACGAGGAACTATTTATACTGCAGCTAAGATTCCTTACTAGTTCTGGTAGATGGGTTGGACACTCGATTCTTGACATTCTAATTTCCACCTTAAGAAAAATATGTTTAGTCAGGAATGAAGAAAAGATTTCTGAAAATGTTACTAACCTTTGATCTGGCGCTTTTTAAAATATTTATCCTCAAAATTATGAAAACAAGGACTGCCAGCCTCGTAGCGTTCATATCAGTGGCTTTCTAGTTCTCGACTAAATGAGACATCATACCATAATATAATATATTTCGAAAATGAATCTAATCGAAAATGAATCGAATTTTGATATCTGTTAAATTGTCTGATCAAGTTATTAAGTAATTACTCCATCTAAAAATAGACACGTTTATTTTATGATTTTCGATTTTTAAAACCCGCATATCTCCCATCTTAATGTCGGGCAACTACTCTTCCACGTGCTTTGACTCTGGCAGTTACATCGCTTTCGTTTAGATAGAATTGAAGTAAAGAGCGAAACGATCCAGCAGGCACAAAGGAAGGAAAATCCTCTTCATCCAAATATAACTTCTCCAGTTTGTAAAGAAAATTCTAGAATAAATAAATAAATAATAATCCAAACCATAAATAGTCCTGTGACATGAAAACTTACCGCTTTCAAGGGACACTCTATATTGGAAAACTTCTTCAAGTATTTGGAATAAATATTAAAAAATCGGTTTTTATGGAGAGTTGTTAAAAAGGAGCATGCCTCTAATTTGACATCGTATAGTTTCATAACTGGCCCGTTTAACTTCGAAAGATCCAAGGAGACTCTTACGTAGAACTGTTCAACTTTCTGATTTAATAGTATCTGACAATCAACGTAGGTCCGATTATTTATTTTAGTCGTCTGGCAATCGAACTTTTTTAATAGAGTCGTATCGAAAACTTTAGCGCTAACCTCATCGGTAATTATTTCAAAATTCCGATGGGCAGAGCTCAAGGAACCGAAAAAAACAATCCACCAGATCCAGAACCAAGTCTTCATGGTGAGAACTCTACTTGAAGTGCTCCACGCGAATTTTCAGATGAGTTAAATAAGTCATTTCGGTGGACAGATATTATTTATTTCCTCTTAAAAATCACTTAAAAATCAATTGGAAAACAATTACATGATTTTCCACTTTGCTAATTTCCTTCCAATCAAGTATATTAGTACATTTCGTTATTCAATAATTATCTAATTTCTTCCATTTGGAATCTAGGGATAGGGATATACCTGGCCCCATGTTTCAATCCGCAAGCCCAACTTTTTTTGAAGAAAAAAGTAATCGGTTATCGTCCTAAAAACACCGAGAGGAATAAAGCCTGGTAGATCATTTTCTTCCATATACCAATTGTTCAGAGTGTAGTTAAAGTTCTTCAATAAATCAAAATATTAAGCCATTATATAGAATCCTAAAGGATCTTTTATTTCTTACCTTCTTCAGAGGACACACGAGATTGGCATTTGTGTGTTTTTTAAAGCTCTTAACGTAAATGTTAAATAGACTATTGCGATGAACTGTTCTGAGAAAAAGACAAGCGTCTACTCGAACATCATAGAGCTTGAATTTTCTTTTGGTATTATTGTGTTTCCAAAAGTCCATGGTAGTTCGCAGATCAATTTCGGGAACGTCACTCTTCAATGACATCTCACCGTTCACATAGGTGCGATTATTCATTAGAGTTATTCGAAAGTCAGCGTTCCTAACAATGTTGGTATCCCTGTATTTGACTGAAAATTCCGTCAATTTTACGCGAAAGGTTCGTTCGGAAGACGTTACTTGGATGATTATGCCAAACCACAATATCCAGAACAAGGTATTCATGGCTAATGCTTCCGTTATAGTGATCGGACTGATTTTAGAATAAAGTACGCTTCTGGCCATTGAGCCATAAACATAACTAGCGAATCAAAGCCAATGGGAAGAAACGGCGGTTCACTATCATCAAAATATCAATTTATAGCTCGTGGTTAGCTTCAAACCAGAAATATTTAGATCATTTTTAATCCCAAACAAGTGGCCATATAGTTTAAGGTTTGATCAGAAAGGTAAATAATTTTTAGGTCAATTAGAAGCAACCCATTAAGTTATGACCATATAAACACAATCATTGAACCAAATCAGGGGCTTCTAATGGAACCACATATATTTATAACTTATACAAACGAATAATACATTATAATACATTTTAATTCAATATAAGCTCCTCTAGACCTTTAAAATGCACTGTCCTTGGGCTACAATTCGTATAACCATTTTCTTCATCGTAAAGTACTCAGTTACAGTCCGAAATACTCCAATGGGAGTGAAAGAAGGAAAATCCATTTCATCCATAAACCAATCCGTTAATTTGTAGCTGTAGTTCTGAAGTAACAAAAATATTTAAAAAATGTTTAAATTTTAAAAACATAAACTTACAGATTTAAACGGACAGGCTAGATTAAAATTAATATGTCTCTTGAAACTCTTTATGTAGAGGTTGAAAAACTTATTGCTTTGAACATTTCTGAGGATGGGACAGACATCCACTCGGATGTCGTACATCTTTTTCTTCTGATTGCTGTTGGGTTTCCAAAAATCCATGACCGTATGAACACCCACATCAGTGACATTCCGGGTGAGTATTATCTCGGCGGTGACAAAGCTCCGGTTGTTTCTTTGCTCGAGAGACGATTCCAACTTTTGAAAGAGATCCGGATCCCTGTATTTAATCGTGAATTCTTCAAAGTAAATCCGGAACTTCCTCTCGTCGCCCAGAGTCACGTCCATGAGGACATACAAGCCCCAGACCCAAAACCAAGTGTTCATAGCTGGAGCTTATATTATAATACTGCTTAAATTATCCAATGACTGTCTGTTTTAATCGTTTTGACTAGTCTGTAATCATTCCATTTAAGATGGCTCATCCAGATAGTGGCTAATCATAAACAATTTTTAATTTTTTCCCCAAAATCAATCTCAATGACAATGGATCAGTGAACCGCAGTATCGTTTTTAGGTTTCTTTATTTTGTTAAAGTCCTTATTTTATTTTGTATCACTATTAGATGGCTGGAGAGCTTTTAAATCAAAACAGAACCAAGATTTTCCTAGAAAATTAGTATCAGAATTTGGTAATCAATCGCCCGTCTAGTTGCATGTGAGCTAGTTGCTTTGATTTTTGCTGAAAACTCATCTTGAGCCGATAAGTGCAATCTGGTATTAGATTGGGTATAAGCTTCTCATCGATATAGGCCCGAGCATAGGAATAGTTCAAGTTCTAGAAAGAAATATCAATAATATGATGATCTTTTATGCTCTGAAATGTATGCTAATTCTTGAGGATTTCCACTCACTGCCTTAAGTGGACACTTGGGTCTGACATCCAGAAAAGTCGCAAAGCCATGATACATTGTTTTGATGAACTTGTTCTTATAGGCGTTGGTGAGGATGGAGCAGAAATTCAATGTGACCTTGTAGAGGCGCATTTCCGGGCGATGGGGCCGGATGATGTCCATTGAGGAAGTGATCAAAAGTTCATTCAAATCGCGAGTTAATACCACATGCCCCGTTAAATAGCTCCTGTTGTAGCCCTGATCGAGAAGAGCAAGATGGGAGACAAACAGGCTGGGATCATCGGCATCGAACGTGAACCGATCCAGCCTCACAACCTGAAGACAGATATAGCTTTCAACCAACAAACTGAGCACAAAGAGTTTCAGCTTGAGCCGAGTCATTTGGAAGACGGTTAACTTGGATACGGACTACGGGCCAACTACTAATGCGGGATGCCGTTGCGCCGACAATTATGAGGCGGCGGCGTAAGCCCTAATGGCTTTTTAAATGGTGTCGTCTGGTCTAAATTGCCACAATCTCTCAATATGTCAACAATACACGTTATTCATACATACATGAATAATTTTTTTCGTAAGTTTTTTCCCCTTTTTTTTGGGTCTTTGAGTCGCTTTCAAAAACGCAAAAAAAAGTGTATACTTGCATACAAAAGTAAAATGAAAATGTTTCACGTTTGGAAAGATTGAGTTGAGAAGGCGGCTAAGTACGTACACATGTGCGGGAATATATGACAAAATGTAAAATAAAAGGACTAAAAAGAAAGTAAAAAAGGGAATTTTAGCAAAGGGATTTATATGGTTAGGGACTAGTCGACAGTGTTAGTACTTAGTACTGATTGAAAATGTCGCACAAGATAAACCTAAAAATTACGAAAGAAGCAATGAATAAAATTCCTAAAGGATCCTTAATATTATTAAAGAATTATTTTCAAGAAAAGGATATTTCCACAAATTTGGAATAATTTTTCAATAATTTCTAAAATATTCAACCTTATCGAAGTCAATTATTTTGAAGAGATTAAACAATTAAACAAAAATAAAATAATATAACCACAATTATAATAATTATAGTCATTATAATAATTCAAAAATGATCTATGGTTTACCTTGAATGAAATTCAGGTCCCATTTTCAATGTAATTTTGATTTATACTCCATTAAAATAGTGACAATGATGGTTTAAGGTTAAAAATCGTACCTTAGCTAGATGCTAGGATACCGAATACACCCGCCAGTATCCTGTCCTACTCAGTGCACCGAACGCGACCCAAAGGATGTCAACAGAAATGTTAATAACACCAACGCCGACGCCGACTCTGCCCACAAACTGCAGCGCCCGGGATTGGATGGATATGAAAATGGGATGAAGATGAGGTTCCAGCTGAGGATGAGACTGATGATGATGATGGAGATGGTTGGAGACGGTTGCCTGGCTACCGACTGAAGCAAAAACAGTGGCCGTAAAACAGAAAGGCAATGCGCACCGGTGTGGAGTTAAGTAAAGGTACGGAAAGTAAAGAAAAGTAAAGCAATGCAACAACGATACGCCACGCCACGCAACGCAACGCAACGTAACGCAAAGGCGGCCCAGTCGAGTGCAGTTCAAACATCACACCTACCGTCTGGGATCTGGAGAGTCTCGACTCGTCTGCGAATGGAGCTGTGCGGTCCATATTATGTAAACATTTGCCGGGCTTCAATCTTTATTTTTTGCTCTTGCCGTGTTTTCTCGGCCTTTTCCTCCTGCTGGTAGATAGGTGGGTGTTAGTGTAGGTGTATATTTCGGTAGCCGGCTTTTATGGATTCCTGAGTCAGGGCTTTCAATCGAAAACGTGTTCAAGTTTTTGCATAAAACGCCAGAAGCGCAAACACAAACACTACTGGCGTAGTAGTTTTTTTTCTTTGTATTTTTTGCAAGGAGTTTCGCAAACATAACGTGTAATCAAAGGGCTTTATTTATGAAATGAATTAATTATTTGTGTAAATTTACAAGTTTTAATTAAAAGAATCAAAATACCCGTACGACTCCGACCAAAAGATCAACAAACAACTTGAACAAGTGTGGGAAAATGCCCTTTTTGAGGAAAGGATGGTTATAGTTTCTAGACTGTATGATACCTGGTACTCTTCTGATGAGGCAAACGAGTTCTTGCATACTTTTGGGTGCTTTGGAAAAAACCATTTAAAGGATCCAATAGGAAATCAGAACATAACTCATCTTAAGATTATATGATTTGGCTGAATTTTGTTGTATAGATAAAAATTAATCTTTAGACTAGTTTAGTTTAAAAACAATTTAAAAATACTACTGAACTACTACTATACCAACTAAAAACCAACGCACCTGTTCTACTTAAATCAGAATGACACCTATTTTCACATCAAGCCATTGTCCTGACGAAGAAAACAACCTAATTTTCCCATTTTCATACAGCGATTTCCCTAAGTGACCAATTTGTTTCGAATGCAATTAACACAACCGATCCTGGCAAAAAAAGACCACGTGTACCTGGTAACTAGACTGAAAACTTTGTTGCTCCTGCATTTTAAATAACTAGCCACTTGTATATATGCAATATATTATGCAAATTTGTGCAATTTTCATTCATGCCTCTGGTAGTATATATGGCTTATATAAGGAAGTGTGTGTGTGTGATAGCCGGACCTTAATTAGCCTTTGAGAGCGTGTGAGGCTCATTTCGTATGCAAATTGTAGTCGATTGGTTTCGCATTACATAATTAATAATTCAATGAGAATTCATGTCAATCACATGCACGCACCCATTCGCCCACCGAGCCGGCCCACGCGAAATGCAGACACCGGAGCCAAGATATCGAGAATTTGATATTAGACATTGCGGTTTTCTGTATCGAAGGTGCGGTTGCAATCCCAAGCTATTGGCCCCGAACTCTGGCCAGTGCCCAGGATAGTAATTAATCCCAATACTAAATTACCAAAACTGTGTAATTAAATTTAAGTGAGTGCGTGTGGACATTTTCCTTTTAATTCCACAGATGCCATGACTTTTCTTTTTGTTACCTAATTTCAAATGATTTATTTTCGAGGGAAATGAAAAGTTTTTATTAGGCTTTTAAGCTGCCTAGACCACGTTAAGCCCAATAAACCCTTTCTACTTAATTGACACTCGAATAGCTGTGAAAATCTAAAAATATTGCACATCACCCTAGGTAGCGTAAATAACCGCACCTAAACGTGCTAAATTGGTTATATAGCATCTCCGACTTTATATATATGTAGTAAGCCCGAGCCCCGAAATAGCCACCGGTTTCAGTGTCTATATCGATGCCTGCCTTCACTGCCTCACTGCAAATGGCTGGCTGGCTGGGCCTATTCGGGCAATCAATAAATTTTCCAGTCGAATGCACAGGTGCTGCCATCAACAAATTACGCATTTGGTGGGCGTCGGCTGCTGCAGTTGGGGATTGCCAGTGCCAGTGCCAGTACCAGGGATTGGGAGTGGAACCAACGAAGACCTGTTCGAGAGACGGAACTTTGTTAAACATTTCCGACCATTTTCCGCTCATTTGCAACAACTCGGAGTGGAGAACAACCCTTTACCATATTTATTTGAGTAATTGTCTTCACACAGAGTTCTATTATTTTGTGTCTGAGACTCCAAATCCAGCTCCAAAGCTTCATCAGTAGCAGTACTACTATATGTGTAGCCCCTTAACGAAAATCCCCCGTGTCTTCTTGTCTGGAAACACTCGTTAAAAATCACTTAAAATTCCATCATCATAAATTTGTCAAAAAATTCAGTCGCTTCGGAGCGAAGCTTTAACGTGTCGGCATTGATGCTGTCTTTTGTCTACTATCACACACTCTCCCTCTTATTTTGGGATTAGTTTTCCAACCAACTGACAATGGATGTTATTTTGCGTACCCCAAAATGTGACTTCTGTGTTTTTTGCACTCCAAGGTCACAGGAAAGTTAAGGTTTCTTTGGGGAAAAACTTGCTCTTTTGTCGGTGTACCCAGACTTTTTTAATAAAAGGGATGTCTTTTATAGAAAAATTAAATTTCATCATTTAAAGTTCAATCCTTAAACCTTTGTCTCATTGATCTTAGAAGGTTAGAAGTGTAAAGACCAGTCTTCAAATTCTCCAAATTTCATGAAGATCAGTTGGCTAGTTCTCGAGAATAGTTCTCTTCTTATAGAAAAACTTACAAGTTTGAGTCTAGCTCCTAGACCCCTTAAAATAAATACTATTTAAATATTCTTGAAAAACCCCTTGCTTAATATCTTAACTATTTTTAAAAACCGCATTTTTTTAGTTGTGTATTAAATTTACGAAAAATGCTTTACAGACTTGCCGCACCAACCAAAGCAAAAACTTCTTCAAGACAAATGAGCTTTTCTTGAAGACCTTTAGTTTATTACTTTTGGTTTATGTTTTCGTCAGTTGGTCGAATGTTTTAGTTTAGAGACGGTCGCCACAGCAGGAGGCAACTTCCAAAATCGCACACCCCCTACACCACCCAACGCCCCACCGCCTACCACCGTTCATGCCACAAAGTTAAGGGCTTTTGTGGCAAGGTCTTTTTTGGCCCCGGCTCCATGGTGACTTCAATTTTTTGGCAACAAAACGCAGCTAAAAGTTGCTGCAACGGCGAAAAAAAATATAAAGCCAAAGCAGAAGAACTACGAGAAAAATTGGGGGCATAAGAAAAATTCGCCCAAGGCAAAAAAAGCAATAACAAAATATTATTATCAAAATCATTCATCATGTGGCTGCAGGCAATAAATTTTCGGCTCGCTTCCAAGTGCAACACCAAAACAACAACAAAAACAACAAGAGTAGAGCCACGGGGGCATAAAGAAGAAGAACTACAATAATTGTAGTAGTTGAAGGTACTGAGGCTTTAGCCTAACTGTTAATAAATCGCAGTGCCAGATATCAGCAAACAGTTAGCACAGTTCTGGGCCAAAAGCAGCTGCTGATGTGGCGCCCGCCCCAGCTCCTCCCCCCAGTCCAGCCCACCACAGCAGACGCATAAAAGTTCGGGGCTTTACCCCCGAAACGAACTTTAACTTGAAGGTGAGGCGTGGCCAGGCCAGGGCTATAAAGCATTAACATAAAACTCCCAAAAATATAATGGACAGCCAAAAAGAAACGAACTAAGAATACATACAGTATGTACATAGTTTCCGACTGCGGAATCCGGGAGCTAGAGCTCCATCTGCCACTGGTCTTCGGCCCCTGGGAGGAGGGAGGCGGCCCCACTCAGTGGCTCAGCCAAGCTGTAAATTTTCACATTACTCAAGCGCTTTCATCAATTTCGTATTAAAAGTTTTTGTTTTATTTTCGGTTGCTCTTTCGTTCAGACATCGGTCGCCAATAGAGAACTTAAATACTAAAGTTTCTAAAGTTCCTAAAGTGTAACCTTTTCTTATCGGGGGTAGGACTTTTATTAAATAATGTACTTATATCGGCTTGTAGTTTATATATTTTTGTATTCTATAAATAAACCTTATCGCCATTTGCTAGCAGCTGAGTGCATTATAAAACTTAAAGATATAATACAATCGTGCAGGGTGTAATATATATGGTGCCTCTGATATCATCTTTAGCCCTGAGAAACCCCTCTTTAGAAAAGAGTCCCCGTTTGATCAATAAACCCCAGCACGAGCCCTCTCATCTACCAATAATCTGTGAATGTCGCCAACTAACGCTTACTTTCCTCTTATTGTCGCCTCCTCGAGTCCCTCTTTGAGATACATTTTGCAAATTGCATTTGATTCTTTCACTTCCTCCCCGGCTGTCCCTTTCTCATTTGCAATCATCATGATTCCGATGTAATCGTTGGAATCGTTACCTCCTCACCCAACCCGAATCAATTCCAGAGCAGTGGTCCTCCTCGAGAGCTCCTCCTCGTCTCTGATGATTCTCGCCCATTGTTATTCTCTTTGGCACTTGTTTGATAAATAATTGTTGGTCGTTTAGTGGAGGTACTGGCCATAAACATGCAAAGTTAAGAGCACATTGTATATTCTTGTGTCGGAACCGGCGCGGTGACCACATGCTGTGATCCCCCGTCCTCTGGGCCGCTTTTGGCTAACGGCTTCGGGTAACCGCATAGCCAAGCTGGGCCAGGCACTTTGGCCGGTTCGGTTCGCGCAATAGAGCACATCACATAGAGCCCTGACCAGGCCAGACCAGACCACATCATCGAATACAAAATGCAAAATGCGAAATTCGAAATGCAGAAGCGACGTAATTGCCACCGCTTGCCACTCGAGAGACGGAAAGCTGAAACCAATAAACCAGCACACGTCGATTAGTTGCACATGAATGCGGCAACATCAGGTCTGGGTGGGATTGGGACTGGCTCTGGTATTGGTCAGTGGATGGTGGTGGTGAGAGGCATCACCTTCCAGCTTCATTGCCCGAGGGGCAAGACTGGCTGCCAAGACAGAGCCACGTCTTAAGAAGCTTAAGGCTATAACGACTGCCTGGTGGCATCTATGGTGACATATGTTAATTTTGCCACCCAAACCCGCCGGTGGGGGTCATCGAATTCAAAGGAATTTCAGGTTTAACCCTAGACTACCTTACTAGGGGCTTAGTTGGAATATTATTTTAATCAGAATAATTTATTTAAAGAGAGCTAATTTAATTCACAGAACTGCACTAATTGCCAAATTACCTGAATAAAGTCGACCAATGATGTTGCTAATTTTTACCAGACCCAGGTGTTAGGTTTGTATCCCCTGGGGGAAACACGTTATACCGTTAACCTATGGCTTTGACCCGGCAAAGCCCTATTGGCACAATGTCGCCTGTCAACTGGGCGGCATCGGAGGAGGTGGGACCACATGGGACGTTGCTCGTTACCCGGCAACGGATTCCCAATATTTGCGTAACCGAAGCGGCTTTTGGGAACACCACCACCATCGCCGCCGCCGCGCTCCATCACCTCTAAGCTCCAAACTAGCCAGGCAATTGCTCATTTGGTATCGCCGTCGAAGGAGCGCCTTCACCGCATTCCATGCGACGAACTGGTGAACCGGCGTTCTGACGATGGACGGATTGGAAAAAAAACACACACAAACTGTGGAGAACGGCCATGAATTTTGCATTTTCAGTTCGCTGGTATTTTTAGCTGGGTCTCTGGCACTCCGCCGATGGGCAGGTCTGTGATTCATCAAAAGAGCGGCGACAGCTGACAGGCCGATAGCTACGCATAGAAATGAATTATACAAAAACTAGATAGACAATGGCCCGTAATAGGCCCCTGCGCCTCTGGAGCGGCCCCGCAACCCTAGTGGCCGCCCCACCCCTTGGGGAAACACCTGCGGCTGAGGCGGCGTCGCCGTAGCCGTCGCTGTCGGCGGCAATGACGACGCGTCGTCCAAGCGAAATTGCCTACGATTATTGTTTATTAGCTGAACCCACGAATCAGATGACAAAAGCTAGCCGAAGAATACATATGTATGAGTCTAGAACTGGGAGATAGTAATCTTAATAGCGCACCGAATACGGGGTTCACTTAATCAGACCTTAATCACATGCTAATTTTTGCCTTAAAACTTTGTTCTAATCTGGAAGCTTTGAAAAACTTTTAATCGGAGGAGTTTCGAAGAGCAATTATCACTTTCAAGGTCGAAAGAAGAAAGGATATTTTAGGGATATTCGACAAGAGAATACTCTTTGAAATACAGTTGTTTCTAGAAAGAACTAATGACTTTCCAAGACTAGAACTCAAAGATACTTATCTTACTATTCTATTAATTAGATACTTAGATACTAAGATACTATTCTAATCGGAATCTCTAAAAAATACTTACTTTGGATGACTTTCGAAGAGTAATTATTATTAAACCCTTGCAGAGGGTATTATAATTTTGTCCAAAAGTGTGCAACGCAGTGAAGGAGACATCTCCGACCCTATAAAGTATATATATTCTTGATCAGGATCACCTCCTGAGTTGATATGAGCATGTCCGTCTGTCCGTCTGTCTGTTTCTACGCAAACTAGTCTCTCAGTTTTAAAGCTATCGTCTTGAAACTTTGCACACACCCTTCTTTCCTTTGCACGCAGTATATAAGTCGGAACGGCCGGGATCGGCCGACTATATCCTATAGCTGCCATATAACTGATTGATCGGAAATGGTATAACTTCGGTGTTTTTAGTGTTAGAGAGTTCAAATTTTACATGAGCGCTATTTTTGACAAATTAATACGATATGCCAAATTTCATAAGGATCGGCCGACTATATCCTATAGCTGTCATATAACTGAACGATCGGAAATGACCCAACTTTCGTGTTTTTGAAGATAGAAAGCTGGAATTTAGTACAGACTCTATTTTTGGTCAGTTGATCCAACCTACCAAATTTCATTAGGATCGGTCGACTATATCCTATAGCTGCCATATAACTGAACGATCGGAAATGGTATTTGGTAGAAATATCAACTTTCGTATTTTTGAAGATAGAAGCTTGGGACTTTTTTTAGATTTTGTATTGTAATAAATTGGAGTATATATTCCTATTCCCATAAGGATCGGCCAACTATATCCGATGTTTACGATATATATCCGGTTTTAACTGCAAGGGTATATAAACTTCGGCTCCGCCCGAAGTTAGCTTTCCTTTCTTGTTTTATTTCATTTTGTCGATAACATGCATTCAAGGTCGTAACCAACTGCAGTTCTTATTGGAGAACGAATTACTCAGCTGGAAACTCGATAGCCGAATACCCTTTGAAAAGCTTTTAAAATTAAGTTGTCTCTATAAAGAGCTAATAGCTCCCTAAGTGCTTGAAATGGGGAAGCAAATAATAGATGTGCACTCTTATTTCATATCATGTGCACATCTGCTTCCGACTATTAGTAATTATATAGAGCACACAAGTATCTGTATCTACATACAAAAATATAGATGTAGAATGTATCTATGTAAATATGTCCCATGAACATATGTGTATATGTATGTATGTATTTTGAGCATTTTGCAGATCGTTCAACTTAATTTTTGATAGTTTCAATAGAAATGCTTGGCATAGCAACCCCGCAAAATGGTACATTGTATGTAGATCGTTGGTTATGCCTCGTCACGCTGATCAAAAAACTGTGGCATATGTACATAAATATACATACATATGGCAGAAGTACGTATGTAAATACACTTTAAAAAATTAAATATAGGTTTTTCTTTTAAAATAACATAATAAAACTCTAGAGAAACTAAATAAAATCAAATAAAATACTGAACTATATTTATTTGAATTTAATTTTACATTTTGTTAGCAAATTTTTTTCAAGTGCCTGGGGAAGCACATGCCCCAACATTTGCAACATTTTTTTTAAGGTTTTTGGCTGGCTGCCTTCTGGCATTTGCCGCCGTCGCTCGAATGGTGTGCCAACATTATGACAAAGTTATGATACTCTTTCCTGGGAAGGAGCATAAAAAAAGCCAGGCAACGAAACGAAAACAAAACAGCAAGAAAAAAAGCTAAAACAAAGCCAAAAAACCAAAAACGAAAGCATGCAGAACAATAAGTGCGATGTGTGAGTGAATAGGTTGCCGCCACCCCACCGCCGACCCCATCCCACCCACTAGTTCGCTCCTTCTAACAATCGCGCCGATTACGTTGTCGCATAACGTTTGAAGATGACGCGCGAGCTTGTCGTTTTTGCTGCCACTGCCAGACGTACTGGCTCTGCTTTGCTTTCTACACTTTTAAAGGGGGTGTGGCAGGGGCAGTGGGTGATGGCGGGTGACGGGTGGTGGGGGTACGGTCCGGGCAACAACAGAAAAGGTGCGGCGACATTGAATAAGCCAACGAACGAACGACCGAACGGGTGAGCGAGCGAGAGAGAGTGCGAGAGCCGCACGTTTGCCTTTCTGATAACGTCGTCATCGTTGCGCTGAGCAATTTAATTTATGCACAACACACGCACAGCTGACGCACACACACACTCTCACTAGCAACAATCAAGTCTCAATTGCTCTGCCACTGGGTCTTTTTCTTTTTTTTTTGTAAAGCTCAACATCTTTTTTACACATTTCGCTTTTGCACTTTTCGCCATTGTTGTTATTGTTACACTCTCACTTGGGGGTATAATGACTTCTTTATCAAGTTGGAAGCTTTTTATCCAAAGGAACTTTAGGTCTTAAAATTTACTCTTTATTTGTTGGTGATGGATAAACTTTCATATAAACGTTCTCTTTTAATACCAACAATTTATTTTATACCGTTAAAACCGCCAACTTTCCCTTTTAGTAACCCACAAAAGCTCGATAAAAAATCGATATATAATTTGGGTAATGGATACGTAAACAAAAACATTGCACAAACAAAATCGGACAACCGATAATTGTGAGAGTGTCCAGGTGTCGGCCAAAGCTCCGGCAAGTCTCCAACTTATGTAAACGCTTCCCACTCGCTCGCCACTCTCCAAGCACTCTCTCTCAACGCTTTTTCACTCTCTGGTTCTCTCGTTACAGCAGCAGCGATCATCGCGGGCGCTGCAACCCTCCGCTCATTCCGGCTCTGAAAATTGACGTCGCGAGACGCTCGGGCGCGCACGGCAGTTGGTAAAGCTCAACGCAACTCGTCGACTTGCCGTTGCGTTGCAGTCGCCTGCAAATTTTCGGTTTTGATTGATTGTGATTATGAACGAGACCTTCAAGCTGTCCCGAATGCAGCGCACCAACATTGACTTCGAGCGCCAACGGCACCTGGCCAATTGGCTGGTCAGGAGCAGTCCCCACATGGCAGCCGCAGCGGCGGGCGCAGCAGCAACACCCACTACAACAGCATCATCGTCAGCAGCAGCAGTGACAACGACCACGGGGCATTCAAACTCCACCGGAGGGGGAGGTGGTGGAGCCACACCAGCAGCAGGGGCAGCAACTACGACAGCAACAACAACAGCACCCAGCAACAGCGTCGCAGCTGCAACGGCAGCTGCATGTAACGGTAAGCTCAGTGGGAGAGGAACGAAGAATGGGAGGAAGAGGTCGTACGCTAGGCCAGGCACGCGCTCCAAACAAGCTCAAAAGTGGGAGGGGGAGAGCGGACGGGCGGGCGAGCGAGAGAGTTTTTTGTTTGCTCATTGACGTCGTGTTAGCTTTTTTTTTTTGCACACCCTTTGGAAAGGGTACAGTCACTTTTAACAGGAGCTTGCAAAAAATAATAGTCATTTAAGGAGAATCCTATAAAAAATAATAATTCCAGTTAAAATTTCACAACAATCTGAAAATTCTTTGAAAAAATATTTGGTTTTCAATGAGCTTCTAATTAAACAGTGTTGAATGTTTTTATGGCCAATAAAGTTTAAAATGTATGAGTTATATTTTTGAAATTAGCATAGATCTTCGTCACTGTAGCTCATTTCCATATTTGTTAGTTAGTGGTTGTTGTTGTTGTTTGCGCGTCTCATCGCGTAATTTCTCACGAAACGTGACGATGACACACCGCCCCTGCCCGTTGGCCCCCAACTATAGCCATCTCTGTCTAACTCGCGGTCTCCCCCAATTGATATTTCACAAACGATAATCGCAATTTCACAAAACGTTTTAGCTCCTCCCTAGTGTTATGCTGCACTCCCGTACATCTGCACTGGTCTTTTATTAATTGTGTGTGCATGTGCATGTGCGTGTATTTGTGAATGGGGCAAAAAATTAAGCCAAATGTGCGCAATTAAAGTGAGTAATGCGCCTCCGATCCAAATCGACCCCACCATGGGCCGCTATCGAACAATGCGCAATCAAAAAATCGCGATATCTCGATATCTCTTTTTAATTGCAGAGCTTCAAGTTCGTTTCTAATAGAAAATGACAGACAATTGGTTTTTTTTTTTTTGGAGGTGTTATCTTTATTTTATTATGATTTTTTTTGTTGTGTGTGTCTAGCGGGAAAAAATAGCTGTTCGAGTTAATCGCTTCCAGTTGTTGACGCTTTTATTATTGCTGCGATATCCGATCCGATCTGTTGTGCTTTCAATGCCATTTGGCTTTAATATTGTCGAGTCATAGACCCCGGGAGTCATAGACTTCAAGGGTTCTTCCTCAATAAGGTGCACTTACCGCAGTGCAAGTCCTGTTGCCAAGCAGCTAATTACAATAACTAACTAAATACAGTCGAGTGGGGTAATCTGAAAAGCGGAAGTATTAAGAAACTTAATAATCTAGTCGAGTGATGAATGTGATTTTGGGGCTTTAATGAGAAGGAGCTCCTGATAAGAAGCCCACAAGATTTTTGTTAAATTTAGTAAAGCCCATTAGAGCTGATTAAACCTCAACCCCTTAGCTAGTTGTGGTTTATTTTTAATGTGGTTGTGCAATTTATGAACCGTATAAATACGTCAATAGCCACGATTGAGTATCAATTAGCTGGCAAACACTACATTTCTTCAATGCACGAATTCATTAGGAAGTAAACTGTTTGCATAAATGTGGCTAGTAGTGGCGGCAAATATTGATTAATAGACGTCGATTAGTGACATGGTTATCTCCTATAAATGCGACGTTTTAAATTCGACTTTTGTGAGTCGATTTCTTTATACTTTTCCCTCCCATTATCTTAAAAAAAACAGCCATTGTTACGAAACCTCCAGACACTTTTAGGATTTCCAAACACACATCGTAAGATCTGTTGAAGCTATTTTAATTTTCGATTTCCCAATTTTATATAGTCAGCCAGGGGGAGGGGAGGGGGATCTTTCGCCATTCATTCTATTGCGGAAATTCTTGTTAATTTCGCGGTTACGCTTTGCGGCCATGTTCGCCCACTGTGTGTCATCGAATCGCTGACCGTTGACTGAAAATTAGCTGCGCTTAGCAACAGTTTTGAACCACTTGCCTTCCGTTGCGTCACGCCAACTGAAATTCCCCAAAAGAGGTGAGGATGGGGGGGGCTGTAGAGGTACAATGTACATAGAAGCCTTCAGTTGAAGCTGATACGATAGTGTGTGGGTTTTCCCACTGCAGACAAGATCGGCAATTAGACACTCACATGTGCAAGCGTGTAAAATTATATTTATGCGATTACCTCACTGATGCACAATGCGCACTCCGCTTCTGTTTGCAGGTGGAGCACCGGCGGGCGCCCATCACGGCCACCACCTGGCGGCCGGGGCGCGCAAGCCCAAGCTGCGGCGCTTCAACTCCCACGACACCAGCTCCAACATGTTCTCGGTGGCGGAGTTCGAGAACGCCCGCCTGGCCCGCCGCAACGAGATCGAGAACCAGCGGCTGGCACGACGCCTGCGCAACTTTGCCAACAGCAGCTGCTACGGCCTGGGCTCGGGCTCTGGCGGGGTAGGCACTGGAGGCGGCGGCTCTGGTCTGGGCGGCTATTCCGGCTTCAGCAGCGGCCTCAACGGCAGCGGAGACTACTCCACCGGTGACAGCAAGGCCTCCAAGGGCAGCAGCGAGGTGAGATCACCCTATCTATCTTGAAATGCATAAAACTAACCGTTCCCTTGCAGTCGCAGCAGGAAGCTCTGCCCGCCGATGTATTCCTCGAGCGGTACTCCCTGCCCCGGGTCGTGCGCATCTGGCACACCAGCAAGAGCTCCAACGAAACCCTGCAGTCCAGCTCGTCGCACGGCTCCTCCACGGCCGCCTCGAGCAGCTCGTCCACGGGAACCAAGCCGGCGGGCACCACCCCCTCCAGTGGCAACACGGACACCGGCACCGGCACCCATTCATCGTCCAGCGGAGGAAGCGCCTCCGGAACCGGAACTGGCTCTGGCTTTGCTCCCGGCCAGCAAATGAACAGCACCAGGCCCAGCAGCAGCAATGGCGGAGGCACACCACCCGGCCACGAGGAGCTCTTTCTGCTGTACAGGCAGGTGCGGCAGCGGAGCATCTACCATGGACACAATGCCAAGTCGCAGGCGTCGCAGCGAAAGAAGAGCGTCCTCATACCGCAGGAGTTTCCGGGTGAGTGTTTGGGAATCAATAGTGGGTGTGGATGATAGCTATTTCAATAATAATTCCATTAGGCCAGGGTTAAGTATAGTTATTGGATGGAAACCTGATTGTATCGGGTTCAATTATTCATTAAAAAGTTTATTTAATTACTCAACAATGTGGCGAGTAATTAAATCCGATTGGGTGCTGAGATCAGAGAGGAATTTTCCCAATGAGGAGCTTCACCTGCCGCCGGCAATTACTAATTACAAGTCGGCGCTGGCGAGGGCGGCACCATACAAGTTGTCGTTCCATCGACAAGGGTTAACTTATCGGTCACAGTAGATGAACTTGAATAACCCACTGATTGCCACGCTGATTGGCAGTAGCTGGGGGTGAAGTTAAGAGCCTGACCACCAATTTGACACGATCACGGTGGATTACAGTCACAATTCCCCATTTATATAATCCAGCTAGAGGCTCATTGAAGGGTTCTCATGACGAATGCATTTTAGCACATGATTGGGGCTCATTACATGGTCCAGCCCCGACCCAGTGACTCATCCGAGCAAACTCCAGGGGTTACGCGGGCTACCTATTAGGTGACTCTATTATGCCACATGTGGCGACTTGCGTGACACAGTCACAGTTCAACAATGAAAAGTAATCGCAACTATTGCTCATCAGCCATTATGCAATGGATTTTATTCGGAGTGCTGATGTTGGCCCAGTGATGACTTCTTCGGGTGCGGATGGCTTCCACCCACTGATTCCGACAGCCCCCCGCATTGCGGTCAGCCATTGTTTCAACGCGTCGCCGCCTGTGACTTTTCACAGGCATTTCGTTGAAGGCGCAAAGTAAACCAATGTGTGCAAATATTATGCAATCCATAGACCCCCTCCCTTGGGGGTATTATCATTTGATTCATTAAACTTGCAGCTGGTTCCCCTGGCTGGGCCTCCAATTGAAGAGATTCAATTTGTTCGTCCATATTGGACTCTCCTTGTGCTAACTCAATTATTCGCAGTGCAATTGATTGAATTAGCCTGTTGATTTGCAGTGTTTTCATTATTTAACACTCAGTTGCGCAAATTAGTTTACGAGCGGCGCGAACCATCAGCCAATTCGTAAAGAATTAAATTCTGTTTTAAATGGAAATCGTCCAAGTTCGAGTACGAGTCCGATTCCGAGTCCTTTGGTCTTATTTTCCCGCCCTACGTCATGCTACTTGTCATTGGGGGGCTATACCATGTACATTTTCGCTGAAAAGCTGTCAGCTGTCGAAAAACGAATTTAGGATTTCGGCGAACAAACAAAAGATTTGTTCTGCCAGAAGAATGCCAGAATATGTGTCGTTATTTATGAATTTTCAAAAATATTTCTTTTTATTGATTTTTAAACAAAACTGGGTCCAGGCCAAAAATAGATTTGGCTTTTGAATCTTTTGCGCATCTGCAAGCTGTTCTCGAAGAATATTCAATAACTAATAGTATACTATCTGAACAAGTGACTAATACTTTCCATTTCTAGGTTACTTTTCGCTGCTGAACGAAAAGGGTATGCCCACGGCCACCCAGTACGGTTCCTTGATGCAACTGGTCCGCGAGCGCGTCTACAAGTTCGTGTCGGTAGACAACATGCCGGCGTTCACGGAATCATCGCCCAGCAGCGCCAGCAGTCCCACCCACGAGGGATGTCTACCAGTGGCCAAGGGTCGGCCCCAGTACGTGAAGACGACCGCCCGGGGCGGTCAGGTGTTCCGACTGCTGGCCGTGTTCGAGGATGGCAAGCAGGAGCCCGGCCAGATTCACATGTCGCAGCACGGAAACGTGAATGTGTCCAAGTCGGGGGGCTACATGGGCCGGGAGAAGGAGAAGAATCGATATGCCCAGCTGCTCAACGAGAACCGGCAGGTACTGTACGTGCCCCTGTCCACCAAGGGAAAGTTTTACGAAATCGAGCCAGGCGTGCCACAGCTGCTGCAAAAGCTGGGTGAGACGCAGCGCAAGCTGAATCCCGAGTGCGTTCACCGACTGGGTGCACTGGTGGCGGCGGCCAAGCAGCTGCCGCTGACTCTGCGCTACATCTCCGGCCCCGGCGGCTCCGACATTCCCGAGCAGTTGTGCGTCAGCCAAGTGAGCAAAGAGGACGTGGTAGTGGGCTGCTCCATCGAGGACATCGACAACCAAACCCCGTTGCAGCTGAGGAAGTTCTACCCCAGCCGGGACATGCAGCTGGTCAAGAGCAATCTGGGCTTCGACTCCGAGCAGCGGATGCTGGCCAACACCAATGTCCAGAACATGCTCAAGTTTTGCCAGTTCAACTGCGACCAGTTCCTGAAGCTGGTGGAGATCGAGCTGGTCCAGCGTCCGGAGCGCTCGGGCAGCAAAAGCCGTGAGGGTTTGAGAATCCTGAAACCATTGCATCTGCCTAAGATTCTGAGGCGCGAGAAGAGCAGCATGGCAGCTGCCCATGAGAAGGAGGACTCCATCATCTTTCTGAGCAAAACGGATCTGGAGAACATGGAAGCTAAAGAGGCTGCAGCCACAGCGGCGGCAGCTGCCGCTCATTCGGATACCGGGGCCAACCGCATCTCAGACCGTATGAAGGTGTTTCAGTCCACGAAGAAGAAGTGGTTCGGAAAGCACCACCAGCAGCAGGTGCCGGCGGAAAAGGCGGCCACCGATCTGGACCTCGACGAGCAGGCCAAGCGGATGAGCATGGAGCGTTACACCGACATGTCGAAGCTGTTGCAGGAGCGATTCGGTGCGGATCCGGAGCAGCCAGAGCAGGACGGTGTCTCGCTGAACAGCACTGGAGCGTCGGATACCGAGACCACAACCCTGACTACCATGGAGCCCAAGTCGCTGGACACTTTACTGCAAAAATCAATGTCCCTGCAGGACATTGAACTGCTGAACGGGCAGCGCAAGCCTCGTCCGGATCTGCTGGCGAGCCATAACCACTCGGATGCCATCAGCGAGGCGGGCACTGAGCTGGAGGACGTGGAGAATCAGACGCCGCCGCCGCAGTCGTTCATCACGGAGAAGCTCTACAACGAGTTCCACGTGAAGACTCGTCAGTACAGCAAGTCCTCCTCAAGCCTGCACCAGTTGAGGCATTTTTCCTTGCCGCAGAAGCTGCAGCTCCACGAAGCGGAAAAGGAGAAGCGCCATCTGATGGAGCTCAAGGCCCAGCAGCAGTCGCAGGCTAAGCAGCCGGTTACTGGGCGACGAGCAGCCGGCGGAGTCTGCCTGTTGGCGGGTGGGCTGACCCATCAGACCCCAGTTGCTTCATCCTTCCTTCTGGGCGAGGACGACTTGCCTTATTCGAGTGTACGCGACTCGCTGGTGATCTCTGGCGATGGATGCTTGCGATCGGAGGAAGCCGCCCAACCCGTCAACGCTGTGGACTACACGAAGGAGAACATCTACGCGGAGATATGTCCTTCGCACACCGTCGACACTTTCTCGGGTGCCACGCAACTCACTCATGTGGTGGACGACGACGGTGACTACGCATCTCTCAAGTATCCGGCCAGCGGGCCCCAGTCGGTTAGCCGCATCGAGGTGAACGGAGCAGCGACGGGAAAGAACAGCGCTATCAGCTACCACACCGTGTACCTGGGAGAGGAGCCGCTGGGCGAGAGGCATGCTGCCCACATCACCACTGTGGAGCTGGCCGGGGAGGATAACATATACAATACGCTCAAATGATGACTCATGTGATTTCGGCGACGCAAGTTAGCCGGTGCCAAGGGCCTGTTTTAGGTATCACTGGTCATGGGTCAAGGGCAAGGGCAGGCCAGGAAGATCAATCAGGATGAGAGTCAGTGCAAAACCCTTTTTTTTGTCAATTGTATCAAAACATGTATTTTTAATCTGCTATCATTTAGCCAAAGCAGTATAACAATTATTTTAGAAAGTGTGTCGATGGCAATCGATGGGAAATTTGGAAACATTTAATCACCATTTGATTGCTAACGCATTCGTCCATTTATTTTCATAAATACGACTAAGAAAGAAGAGAAAAATACATAAATATTCTCCTAGGCGGGATTAGATTTAGGTTACAAATTCGTGGCTAGTCTTACTAAACATTACACTGGGCAGGAAGCTGCCGACGCGAAAATTAAATGAATTTATGTTTCTAATTTTAAGAGAGAAGCGTGTAAGATAGGGCCTGTCCAGGCTCCTTTGCCCTTTGACCTTGACTGACTGGAGCTTGGCGAAAAGTTTAGCGATTCAAATACAATTTACGATATATCATGTGGCGCTGGTGCACAAATGCAGACAACACAAACGTAGAGACGACTAACGACTATTTTCTATTTCATTTCGTTACCAAACATAAATCTACGAATAACTCGAAGAGAATTTGAATCTGGTTAACAAACGCTTAAATAAATAAACGGAATTACAAATCTCTGTAATAACATAACAAATTCAAACACATATATATTTGTAGCGAGTAGTGTTAAGTTTAGGAAACGGCGTTGTAAATGAAGACGTCCCTGTGGGCGACGAAAAACCCCTAGAAATGACAACTGAAATTGTAATATTAACCAAGTGAAGACAAGCAATGTGTATTGTACATAATCTATATTTAGGTGGATCTATTGCGCCACCAATTCTCCATCCCCAATCCCCATTACCCGACCCCTGACCCAAATCCCAATACGAAAACAATACAAAATCAATACATAATTAAACTGAAACATTTGGAAATTGCAATATTATACAATTGTATACATTATATATATATATTATATAGCTATACTTATACACACATATACTTACTTATACATACGATTACGATTTGGAAATCTTAGTGCAAACCTAAGGTATTATTAGCTCGTAGGCAATCAACAAGTCAAATCAAATCATAAGCGATATACATCTTTATATGCATATATACTGTATATTTGTAACATAGCATCAACTTTTAGGGCAGTATGCCAAACTTTTACACGATCTCTCGTAATTTGTCGTTCTTTTTTGGAAAAAACAAACCCCATTGACTTGGTTTTGTTGGGTTCACTTCAGTTGTTTGTTGTACCCGCCCGGCAATTCTAAGTTGAGCAAACACACCGATTACATTAAAGTGCGGGCATGTCCACAACACATTGTAAATATTTTAACGTGTCTGTTTGTCCGCGTCGCTGAAAGCACTCGGAGTGCTTGCCCCCCAAATAACCCACAATATTATGATATACCAATAAATATTCGTAGGAAACTAAACATATATCGAGCCGACTCGAGCCATATATTAAATGCAGTCTCAAAGTAGAGCTTAGTCATTAAGATCCAGTTGTTTCTAGTCTTAATTTGAAGGCGAATACGCCTGTAATTCTTTTCAATCGACATGCCGAACTTTTACTTTGTATCGAATGACTCCGGCTGTCCGGAGGATTCTTCAATATATATATACACTTTCAATTGGGTACTACTTAAATAAATATTTAGCATGAATTTATGATTTTTATTTTATTTCGTTTGTTATTGTAATCAATACAGAAAATAATATTTGATTTGAAACGTACTTTTGCTTTTTATTCCAACCTCTGTCTCTCTCTCTTGATCCTTGATCCCCCAACGGCAAACAATCAATTTTGGAAAAAAAAAGAATTGAATTAATAAAGCTAAGGAATACGCTATAGATTAACCAGAAACCCTGTATAAAACTGAAGCAATACTCACAAAATAGCTATGATACTAGTTGTAAAACCTCTCTGACAATGCAACAATGCGAGAGCAACAGGTTCGGTCAGTGTGTGTGATAGTAGCTAAGTAACGAGGGTACTTACTATCTGAATATTGATGTTTTGTACATATTTAGAGACCAGCCCCCGGCATACTGTATGTATTGGGTACTAGGAGTACCCACTGGCGCGGTTACAATGCATTTCATAGTTGGTAGACATGTAAGACAGGCTTCGCTGAAGCGCAAGGGTGATAATACTCGTATGTTGACACAAAACATCCATCTATCTATCCCTCAGACCCTTGGTGATTAACAAAAAGTTATCGGTTTTGTATTTTGAATGGCGGTAACCAGGATTAATGGAAAGTTTACTTAACGAGCAACTACCCGCCAGCATAAATATTGGTGTGATACAAATGTGTAACAGAAAACAATGTGAAAATTCAAATTAAAGGTCAGTTTGGAACTTGCCATTGAGCAGCAAAAAGAAAATATGTTAGATTTTAAATTTAATTAACAACATGGGAGTCACTTGTTTTAATTTTAGTAGCTTATAATATTAAAAACCACTTTCTAAAGAAAATGGAAATCAAAAATCGCACATTGTCAGGCAGAACAAACATAAGATAATACTGAGAAGGGAATGGATCTCATCCGATCCCCAAGATGCCGCCCGTTCAGGCCTTTGATGGAATACAAAATTTCAAAAAATGAATTTAACCGGATGATTGTAAAACACGGAGAATCTAAAAACAGCCAACTAGTTACTCATGTTTTTTGGTGTCTATGTTAATCCTTAGAACTTCACAGACGATTAATCAATTAGAACTCAATGTCAAACCGTAGTAGAGCCCACACACACTCAAACACAGCAAATATAGATACTTAAATACTTAATAAATATGTATTCAAAACAATTGAAAAACAAAATATAACCTTGTAGCACTTTTAGATCCAAAAAAATGAAACAATGACCCAACTTCAGGTATTCACGAGTAAAGATTATGACTTTGGGAACTGATCGCTGATCGATATTTTAGAAGAGCCCTGCTCTGAGCTTGGCATGACTGAATTGATAAGGTGACAACTAAATTGAAAAGAATCGAAATCTAAAGAACAGTTTGGTATTGGGTACACGCTTAGACACACGAAAACATACACAGAAATACACATAGTACCGTATAAGGAAAACTGATATATAATTATTGTTATAGTAGATCTCTTTCTAACAATAAGTGCTGACCATAGTGTATGTGTATGAGAAGTAAATCGAAAAGTCTCTGCTTTTTACAGCAGCTTACTGACCTCAGCAAAGGCAGCTCATTTCAACGGATTAACTTTAACTCTAAACTGAGGCCACCCAATGAACTCTAGCATACAAATTTATATTTCACGTTGTACTTATATTTAATTAGATAAAAAAGAAATAACCAACTCACACAGAACTCTTTGGATAAAATGTTTAAGCCGGAACAAAAGAAATAAACTGAAACAATACATTTTCAAATTTTCACAAGTCTTATTCATTATGGATATAAGATAATTCTTGAATTGTAGTGTTTGGGCCATTCTTTTATTTTAGATTATATAAATATAATATTAATAAATATTAAAAAATTTTCCCGTAAACCGAAATTGTAGCACGAAGAACTTCGTCAGTGTACCAGTTTGTATCAAACATATATTCTCCATCCGGAACTGGAAGAACTTTCGTGACAAGTTCATTTACGAAACTCCCAGGTAGTTTATCAACCCAAACGTAGTCCTGTGAATACATCTTCTTTCATATGAAACCAAAAGTATATCATGCACTCACATGAAAGGGACAGGTGTGATTCATATTTGAGTAAGTACTAATAAACCGAAACAAATAGCTGAAAACAGGATATGATTTGGGATTGTTGAGAAAACGGCAGCCGTCCACGGTAATGTTGTAAAGGAAAGGTTTGTAGCCATTTAACTTTTTGTAAATTGCAATATTGGCCTAAATTGTTGAAACAGAACTACCAGTTATAATATTTTTAAGTTTATGTAGTTTAAATACTACCTTGACTTTAGTGACAGGTTTGTTTAGGTTTAGTTTCATTTCCATGTATTTGTAGGTTCGATTCACTGACTTCAGATGGCATATCTCGAAGTTCCCAAATTCGACGTCTGCAAGGCTGCACTTGATATTTGTGTACTCGAATTTTGCAAGCACCTAGGAAAAGAAAAAATCGATATCATTGAATTAAACCCTTCTTACCTGATCTTACTCCAACTAAATAAAAAACTAGACCGAAGCGCCAAAGAAACAGCCTTAATAAACCCATTGTTAAAATACAAGTAAAATCACCAATGAAATGTAGCAAATGAAGCAGTAATAGCAATTGTTGATTAATGTTGTATTTATGTTCCATTAGAGAAGTTAATTAGCAGAAAATAGCTTAATGATAAATCAGCGTAGCTTATCAACACATTTACTCCCTAAATAATTTTTAGATTCGTGTACAAGTTTTTCCTTTTGAAACCAACATATGATTTTTATTTTAGCCCCAATTTCCATGAAAAGTGACTCTAGGCTCTATTAACCTTTTCCTAAATGTAAAATATTTAAGGAAACTTCTTAAATCGGATATTTTGTTCAAACATTTTACATCTCTTTGGTTACGCATACGCAACGTGGTCTTGGCAATAATTTATTACAGAAACTTAAATGTATGTAAGCTTTGTTGGTACTGTAAAATACAGCCAGAGGGCGCTAGACGACTTCCTGTGAGTATGTAGAGTTTGTGTATAAGGTACTTACACAATTATCTACATGAAACGATTGGGAAGCCAATATCACGCACTGCCGTGGCTATATCTTTTTCAATAATCATCCGATTCATAAGCGGAATACCTTAAACGATTTGTGCAGGGATTTCCTTTAAATCTGCATCAAAACCCAGCATCAAAATATTTTTCATATTTTTTGTCAAATTTTCTGGATGGCCCCTTCAAAAATGGGAAAAATGCATGAGGGCACTATATAGCCCACTCCGGTGGCTATATCTTTGGCAATAATCATCCGATTCATAAGCGGAATACCTTAAACGATTTGTGGAGGGATTTTCTTTAAATCTGCATCAAAACCCAGCATCAAAATATTTTTCAGATTTTTTGTCAAATTTTCTGGACGATCCCCTTCAAAAATGGGGAAAATGCATGAGGTCACTATATGGCCCATTCCGATGGCTATATCTTTGGCAATAATCATCCGATTCATAAGCGGAGTACCTTAAACGATTTGTGCAGGGATTTCCTTTAAATCTGCATCAAAACCCAGCATCAAAATATTTTTCAGATTTTTTGTCAAATTTTTTGGATGATTCCCTTCAAAAATGGGGAAAATGCATGAGGGCCCTATATGGCCCACTCCGATGGCTATATCTTTGGCAATAATCATCCGATTCATAAGCGGAATACCTTAAACGATTTGTGGAGGGATTTTCTTTAAATCTGCATCAAAACCCACATCAAAATATTTTTCAGATTTTTTGTCAAATTTTCTGGAGTATCCCCTTCAAAAATGGGGAAAATGCATGAGGGCACTATATGGCCCACTCCGATGGCTATATCTTTGGCAATAATCATCCGATTCATAAGCGGAATACCTTAAACGATTTGTGCAGGGATTTCCTTTGAATCTGCATCAAAATCCAGAATAAAATTATTTTTCAGATTTTTTGTCAAATTTTCTGGATGATCCCCTTCAAAAATGGGGAAAATGCATGAAATCACTATATGGCCCATTCCGATGGCTATATCTTTGGCAATAATCATCCGATTCATAAGCGGAGTACCTTAAACGATTTGTGGAGGGATTTTCTTTAAATCTGCATCAAAACCCAGCATCAAAATATTTTTCAGATTTTTTGTCAAATTTTCTGGACGATCCCCTTCAAAAATGGGGAAAATGCATGAGGGCACTATATGGCCCACTCCGATGGCTATATCTTTGGCAATAATCATCCGATTCATAAGCGGAATACCTTAAACGATTTGTGCAGGGATTTTCTTTAAATCTGCATCAAAACCCAGCATCAAAATATTTTTCAGATTTTTTGTCAAATTTTCTGGATGATTCCCTTCAAAAATGGGGAAAATGCATGAGGGCTCTATATGGCGCACTCCGATGGCTATATCTTTGGCAATAATCATCCGATTCATAAGCGGAATACCTTAAACGATTTGTGGAGGGATTTTCTTTAAATCTGCATCAAACCCCAGCATCAAAATATTTTTCAGATTTTTTGTCAAATTTTCTGGATGATTCCCTTCAAAAATGGGGAAAATGCATGAGGGCTCTATATGGCGCACTCCGATGGCTATATCTTTGGCAATAATCATCCGATTCATAAGCGGAATACCTTAAACGATTTGTGGAGGGATTTTCTTTAAATCTGCATCAAAACCCAGAATAAAATTATTTTTCAGATTTTTTGTCAAATTTTCTGGATGATCCCCTTCAAAAATGGGGAAAATGCATGAAATCACTATATGGCCCACTCCGATGGCTATATCTTTGGCAATAATCATCCGATTCATAAGCGGAATACCTTAAACGATTTGTGCAGGGATTTCCTTTGAATCTGCATCAAAATCCAGAATAAAATTATTTTTCAGATTTTTTGTCAAATTTTCACACCCAAATAACTTACCAACCAAACTTTTTAAACCACACCCAAATTTTCTGGATGATCCCCTTCAAAAATGGGGAAAATGCATGAGGGCACTATATGGCCCACTCCGATGGCTATATCTTTGGCAATAATCATCCGATTCATAAGCAGAATACCTTAAACGATTTGTGCAGGGATTTCCTTTAAATCTGCATCAAAACCCAGCATCAAAATATTTTTCAGATTTTTTGTCAAATTTTCTGGATGATCCCCTTCAAAAATGGGGAAAATGCATGAGGGCTCTATATGGCGCACTCCGATGGCTATATCTTTGGCAATAATCATCCGATTCATAAGCGGAATACCTTAAACGATTTGTGGAGGGATTTTCTTTAAATCTGCATCAAAACCCAGCATCAAATTATTTTTCAGATTTTTTGTCAAATTTTCTGGACGATCCCCTTCAATAGCTTAACAAGATGAGAAAATTCTTGGGAAGCTTATATTCATTTTATTCCTGAACGGGCTACCGTAAAAGACTTTTTGTCCAATTTTCCACCATTTGCATAACACATACCCAGCATTAAACAACAATGCATCTTTTATATTTTTTAATTTCTGCACATTTAGTTTACATACTCATACATACTAATTCATAATTTTCTTTTTATAATTTTCTATGTCTGGCTGCAGCTTTAGTTTCTGTACACGCATCTTACACATTTGTTCTGTTAAGAGTTGTTACATTTTTTTCGTTTTCGGTTTGTTTCTGACATTGTGCGGCCACATTCGATTCTATTGGAGTCGGTTTATTTTAGTTTCTATTTATTTCTTTCTATTCCCTCGGCCCACAAAGCTTGGGCTTACCGTTTGAAGGAGCAAGCAAAGACTTTATATCATATCGAATTTAGCAATAGCTTCGAAAAGTGCCTTAAAATTTTTCAAAAATTACGGTGAACTGGAAACGAGTGAATTTAAAAACGAATTCAAACAATGGCAGAACTTTCTTTGTTTATTGCGTTGACTGTAACTTCATTTAATTATTTCCTAGTTTTTATTTGTTTGGTATGGCTCTTCCGACGATTGATTTTAGAGCGCTGACACATTTGACTAATACTTTTTGAACTCTCCGAATTTTGGTTGGTATTTCGAGATACAATATCTAATGGGTTTTCTCTTATTTATGTTATAATGAGTTTTTTTATTAGCGTTTGCCTTCATACCAAGCTTATTTTCATGCTTTTTTTTAATATTATTTTTAGTGTTTATTGTTATTTAATTAACGATATGTTTGGTATACAAACTTCATAATACCCTGGCTATGTTTTTTTGGTTTTCTCGATAGCTTAGAACAGCGCAGGTTGGCAAACGTTTTTCAGGAACAGATCAGACACGGGAATATATAGAGATGCTAGCTATCTGTAGGTTGGATAGTCCACAAGTTATAGGAAAATATAGGAACAGAAAACGAAAGGAATTGGCGAATTATAATGCAGGAAAGCTTTGGGAAGTAGACAAAGGACTAGACACTGAAAGCAGTTTGTGGTGGAAAAGAAGTTACATATGGTATCAAAAGTCATGTTTTGAACGAATAGATTTAATCAGAAATGCCAATTATGCCTTCAACTGGAAAAAAATCCATAATTTTGAAAGTTTCAAGCTCAAAACATGACATTTATGGGTATATTATTTAGTGTTTTTGTATTAGTTAGTTATGTGGCACATTCAAAAGATAGTTTTAGGGTACATATATGTAACTAAATTCTGATCTCTATTTTTTTCTCGGTTTTAATTTTCAATATCTTTCATAATTTAACACTCACATCCTTTACCATTCACCTGGATACACACTGACACACACGCATAAAATCACACACACACACTCGAGCCTAGAACCTAGACATATACATAGACCTGCTGGCTAACTAAAATCGTAACTAAATCCCATACATTTATTATCCTACTGGCCAAGTTTAGCCGGACTGAGCACCAGTTCTGGCTCGAATTTGCTCGACGACGCCACCGAACCCGTCGCCGCCCCCGCGGACGATTTCGGCGGGGCCAGGAGTAGGCTGCCACGCCCCATTACCGATCCGGCGGATGACGGGTGTGATCTGTGGGGATCCAGGGCGGCGCTGGTGGTGAACGACGAGGTGGTTAGGCCCGACGCCGTGGCCGGTCGCATTGTCGACATGGGTTGCATTAAGCTCAGACTCAGACTCGTGGCCCCAGAGGCCTCCAGCACCTGGCCGGGTATAGTGGCCACAGTGGCGGTGGCCATTGTCGGCGGCGCCGGTAGCGGCAGCAAACTGATCGTTGTGGTGGTGGGAGGCTGCGTTCCTGCTGTCGTTCCCGCTCCAGTCGATCCCGATCCTGATCCTAACGGTGTTCCTATTCTGGCACTGGCTGGCATGGCATAGGCGGAGCTACTCATCGACATGCCCAGTGGTCCACGTACCGTTGCTGTAGCGGAGTACGTGTGCGGCAGGGCCGGCGGCAGGTCGTAGCTCGTGGGATGCGACTGGGATGTGGGCAGTCGGGTGCTGGTGGTGGGCGTTGTCGTTGTCGTTTTGGGCGTGGCTCCCGTCGAGATGCCCGGCCGCGAGATCCTTGGTATGGCTCCAGTACTGCAGCTACTCGGCAACGTGGTCGATGGTACCGAGGCAGTGGCATCCACAAGGGAGGTCTCCTCCACCTCCACAACGCCGCCATCCAGGGAGTCCTTCACCGTCGAGGAGGAGGACAGCGACTGTGATTTTGAGACCTGCGACTCCAGTTGCATCTGCTGTTGTTGCTGGCGTTGCTGTTGCAGGGCCACACGTTGCCGCACCAGTTTGCTGTCGGGCTTCTCGTCCACGGTGCTCAATGTGGTTGCCCTCGTTACTCTCGAGATGGCTGTTGGGTCTTTGGTGGTACTACTCGTAACGGCAGTTGTGGCTTTTGTTGCTGTTGTTGTTGTGGTTGTATGTTTGGCAATCTGCTGTTGCTGCTGCTGCTCCTGATCCTGCTCCTTATCCTGCTCCTCATCGCTCATTTCGCAGGCATTCAGAGCCGTCTGCAGTTTCTTCATCTCCAGTGGAGCATCTAAAATAATATTAGTTTTAAATTAAAAAGGATGACTTAGCTTTTTTTCGATGTTTAAACTTACCACCGCTCTCCGGCTCATTGATGATCGGCACCACCCGATTTATGGCGGTTTTCTGCTCATTCTGCATGAACAGCGATGTGGTGGCTATTTGACGCAGTGCCTCCATGCCCTCGTTGAGCATTTTGCTTTGGCTCCGTTTGTGCGCTATGGGATATTTCGGCTAAAAGTATAGGAAAGTAATGGGTCTCTCTCTAATATTCAATATTCCCAGCTACTATATACCAACCTGTATACTGGGTTCTCTGGCTATGAACACTCTCTTGCTTTCCTTCCGGAGCAGCGATGTTGTGTGGTCCGCATCTATTTTGTTGCCATTTTTCTTGTGCGTCTTCTTGCTGGATGAGATGCAGTGCGATGGACAGATGCAGAAAAGAATGCGTAAAATGCAACAGATCAGGCCCAATCCTAAATAAATATCAAACACGTTAGATCGAAATAGTTAGAGATAGGGGGAGAAAAACTATAATATTGCCTATAAGAGATGGGCCTATAAGTCTTAGTTCCACGGTTTTGAAGCCCTTCTCGCCGGTGCCAACGAATGCGATGACCAGGCCCAGTGCCACAGTGCCCAGGCCTACGTAGAGAAAGGCATTTGCAAAGGTGCTGGGACCGCGCAGAACGCCCAGAAAGTCCTCATCGTCCGAAGAGCCGCCCAAGGAGGCGTCTTGTATCTGCCGAGGTAAAAGGTCATCGTTAGCTTAACATTTTTTGAAGTTTTTTCAGTTTTATTTGGAAAAAGTTAAAGTGAAATAGTTTGTTGTCCCAAAGATTGTTGTAATTTAATAATTAAGTATTTAGTAATGAAATTATTGACAGAAATAAGATATATAAAAATTCAGAATAAGAATTTAATCCAACTGTGTTTTATTTTGGAAAACAATTTATTTCACATAACTTTTTATAAAATATTTATAAAAAAAACTTTGCCCTTAACAAAACTCTCTCGATTTAATGAAAATGTCTTATGAAAGAAGTTTGAAAATAGAGGGAGCTTTTCCGATGACTCCATTATCTTATCGATATATTTATGTCTGCTTCACCTAACCGATAATGCGCTGAACATCGATAAAATGGTGCGTGAAAGAAGAGTGAGGGGCGGGAAAGAGTGACACAGTGATGGGAATTTTGAAATATTAAGGTGACAGGGTGAAAATGCCAGACTGCTGGGCTAATAAGTATTACGAGGATCTGCAGCTTCCGTCGTACCTGGCCCTATGTTGTGGCACTTACTCGGTTGCGCTTCACCCAGCGTCGGTGGCAGGTGGCCTGCTGTTGTTGCTGATCCTGGACGCTGCAGCGTCGGCCGCGCTCCAACCTGGCGGCTCGTCCCTGGGCGCACTTTGGGCGCAAGATCGATATGGATATCGGAACCGATAGCACAACGATAGCACGATAGCACGAAGACCAACACCAAGCGACGACGATAACAACACACACACAGTGGTTGTGGTTGGAGATTGCGGTTGCGGTGGCGGTTGCGTTTTGGGTTTGATTGTTTTGGCGGTGATGGTGGGGCAGATGCATAGAAAATATATACAGTTCTGTGATTAGTTTTGGGCCGTGTGAGATCGTCTCTCGATAGTGGTTAAAGGGGAAAAATACATTTATTATTAATTGTTTTTCATCAAAAGCATACAATACAACTCATGACAAGATTAACGTCTAATGCAAAAGCAATCGAATTCGGATATAGAACTGAATATTGAATTTTTTGATAGGTCTCAAGAATTCTTAAATTTGTCTCTTCGTCATCAATTACAACATCAATGGAAAATATAATTGTCAGCCAATTGGATTGAATTTCTGAGTAAAAGACGCAAAGGCATAGACGCACATCGGAAACACTTAACAGATAGAATATGAAACATAAAACAATTAAATCTCAAATAGTAGAGGAAGGTAAGTATTTAGAAAGGAGGGTAAAAAACAGAGAATTGTGAAACATGAACTGAAAACATTAAAAAAAGACACTGAAAGGAGTTGAACACTTAGTTGGTAGAGGGAGAGCACACTTCAAGACACAAGTTAGTTTTTATGAAAAAACATGCCTCGGTAGAATTCAGACTTCGAAGCGCTGAAAAAAATGCGATCTCAAACAGCTAAAAATACAGCAATATTCTTCCTCATAACCCATGCAATATTGTATTTTTAAATAAATAAACCACTTGAAAATAAAAAATTGACTTTAAATGAATACAAACTTAAGCAAACCCATTGTAGAACATAAAAAATATAATTTTTGGCTCAGTCGTATACGTAATATTTGCAAGAATTGAACTCAATGATACTTCCCAATGTTTTTAAATTGAATTTAAGGTATTAAACAGTTTAATTAAAGTAAGTTTTAGTTTGGATTTACATATTAAAAAACTATAAATATACCCCAACGTAGAATTTTCGTACGTATATTATACGTAATATTTATTTTAACTTACTTCCTTGTTTACGGCTTTTTCAGGAAAACTTTTAAAATTTCAAAGTGAAACTCTTTAAAAAACATTAAACTTACAACTAGCCAGAATATGAAATAACAAAGTTAAAAAAGTTAAACAATGACCAATCCATCAACATGACGTATACGTAATATTCGTGCCTAGTTGTTTGTGTTTTTAAGGAAACTTTTATTTCTCCTCGACTTGCCACTGAGCAAACAAACACAAGTCAATGTCAGACATACTATACTGAGGTATAGACCCACTGACACCCACAAGCATGCACACTCGCATATTTGCATACACGTGCACTGGCCAGCACGTAGACAGGCTAATGAGCGAGTCGACCCGACCTGAGGGCTACCCGGCCCAGCCCCCCGCCAGTTAGCCCCTATTCCAGAGCCATCCAGCTCAGCTCCATGCTCCGTGGAGGAGCGACTATAAACAAGGCAATGTCACTAAGCCAGCTACTAAATATGCTGCGTGTCAGTAATAAGGCAAATAAAACGACTCACTCACACTGGCACAAACTGGTTGGCCTATATACTAGTCGCGACAAGAAGGAAGAAACGCCAACAGATATATACGTGTATATATGACTATATAGTTGCGGTATATAGATGTGAGCATGATGGACTCGGTATGTAGAGCCACGTTTTCTGGTTTCGTTTGCTTTTCGTGTGCAAAATCGCAGTCACACAAAGCAAGAGGGCCATAGAACACAGAAAAAAAACACCAGAAAAGGCGAAAGGGAAAGGGAAGTAAAAGTGGAAGTGGGAGAAAGTATCGATCGGCTGCTCCACATAACTGTAACTGTAACTGTTGTCCTGCCCTTGACTTAATGTAGGTGTAATCAACAATTTGCGACGCTGATTGACAAACAGCGAGGAGCCCGTAAGGGAGACGAATTATCCGCCAAAAGGCCAACAAAGAGTCAAAGCCAACGCACGTACGCAAAAATCAAGGGATTGGCAAAACAATATTTTCTTTTTCGAAACAGCTGACGGATTCCAGGACTAAGGTGACAATTATACGATAATTTTACCCTTTGTTCCACTTAAAATGGTCTGGCAAATTATTCATATTGCTCATACGCCTGGTTGGCCACGTGGACTTTTGATATTTATTATTAATTTTTTTTTCAGCAAATATTTGCTTCATCATTGCGAATACGCACACGCCATGTGTTCATTAAACTTTCACCTTTTCGCACAAGCTCTAATCATCGACTTTGCCAATATATCTGTGGCCATTCGATGGATTTCCTATTTTTACGAAGCGAAGCCCCCACCTAGCCCCCGCTAACTAGCTCGACTGGTGCACGCAATGGGAAAAATAGAAATGTTGTAAAAATTACAACAAAGCGTCGAAAAAATGCTTTCAATCGGGCTCAGTCTGCCGCATGGAGGCGACAAAACGCTAATGAACACCGCACACGGAAGCCAAACCAAGGAACTGCCACCCCAGCCCCTGAAAGTAGGCAACAAATTTTTATGTTGTGTGTAAAGAGCTTAATGGCAAATCGAAACCCTGCAGAAAGTCAGCTAAAAAACAGCTTGTTCTAAGCCGGAGTGAAACTAAATTACGATTTATCGATTCTTGGAATTGTTATATTTTTTTCGTTCGAAATTGTTCTCTTATTAAGCATGTCTCGGCTGAAATAATGTACTTTTAATTAACGATAATTACGGGTGGCGGGCCTGGGTAGTGGCCACTAAAGAGGTGGTTACCTCTTTTCATTCTGATTAACGCCATAGATTTCTGCGGCCATTGTATAACAATAAATTGTTTTGCCGCAATTGCCTGCCGGCGTCGAAAATTAACATGTACTCGCCGCCGACGACACGTCGTCCCAGCGGCACACAGGAAGTGTAGGCCATTAATGACAGCAATTTATTCGGGCTCATTGATTGTTTGCCCCGCCACCGATTGCCGATTGCTTGTTGTTTGTTCAAGTGCTGAATCTGGTTTGGTTTTCAGGCCTCGGGCAGGCTGTTAAATTGCGGTGACTACTTCGATAATGTGACGAAACAATTAAAACATATTTATCGATTTAGGGGTTCTTTTTCATTCTGGCCTGACATGGACTGGAGTTAACGAGACAATCATATGGTTCGATCTTTTCCCCACTTGACCATGACATTTGGACGGAGAAACTGCAGATAATCACACAGTTCTTGCTGAGTGAGTGCTTAGGTTTCCGGGCTGCACCCACATCTCTATCTTTCTGCGGGCAATTGAAAACAAATCTGTGAGACTACTTGTGTAGTCGCATTTGAGCATACATGGCTGAGGAGGCAGATGCCGACAGCCCAGGATACTTTGGCCCGTGTACAATTTTATTATGCGACTTGAGCCGAGTTGCGCAGAATCAAGTGCAAAATGCACTTGTAAAATCAACACCACGACCACGCCGGGGCCAGTCGGGGCTATCCGGGGTGGGGCTGGCATCTCGAGTGGCTGCCGGTGGGACGCCAGGATGTTCGGACAGGTGGGTCGAGAGCAGCCAGCCAGGACAGGCAGCCAGCCGAATGTGCGCAGGCTAATGAAAAATGCAAAAGCAGCCGCAGCTGGAGCTGACACACGACCAAGTCGTAAAGTACGAGAGAAAAGCTAATGCTTTGCTGTGGTTAGACAATGCAGCAGCCAACAGTCGTTGAAGATTCAGGGACAGGGGCAGGGACAGAGACATTACAGGCAATTTCACTAAATGACACTGAAAGGCCAGCCAGCCAGCCAGCCAGCCACCCAGGCCTTCTGCTTCGCCATCTCCAAGAACGAATCCAGAGGCAGCCGGAGGCTCAAGGTGCTCCAAGAGCCTATGCGGCGAATCGGCGGAGCGGTCTATATGTGCGAGCCTTTGAAACTGGCACATGGCCAGGGCCACGGGGCAAATGTGGAACAGCTTTGCAGTATATTTTTTGGTACACAAATCAGCATTAAACGGTCAGGTCTCGAACTGAGCCTTAAAACAGTTCATTAGGCCGCATAACGCCCAGGGCAAAGGCATTTCTTGGGTCACTTTAAAAGAAACTTTCAAGTATAAATATCACAACTTGAACAAGAATTTTAAGAATCGACTTGGCATTAAAGCTCTTCAGGCTCGATAGTTCCTTGCAGTCTAAGCCTTGCTCCACATTCTAAATAATTCATTTGGCAGTGTTCAGCTCAAATCCTTTATCGCACTCCTAACCAAAAGGCTTTGATTTTAAATTCAATTCGCGTAAGACGCACCAATCGATAGGAGCACATGCAACACATGGGGCAAGGAATTCGCACAGGCACAAGGCACCAAGCACCAGGCATCGGGCATCAGGATACGGAGCGCACAAGCGAAAAATCCCCATTCAAGGACCAAGAAAACCAAACCGGAGAGATCTGCCCGACTGGCCAACAAAACAATTTAAAGGCAAAGCCACAAAGAAAAGTGGCCAAGTTTCCCAAACGGAACCCAAGGAGGCAAAAAAAGTTAGCATTTAAGCGCAGATTGTGTAATGAAATCAGACCATCCAGAGTCTTCTCGAGGGAAGAGGTGAAGCCGGTGGGGTGGGCGGGTCAGCGGGAAGTAGCGCCATCGGCACCGCAAATTAAAGTCGTTTTGCGGCTAAATGCGAACTTCTAGGATATATGTGTGTGTCTGTTTGGCGGTCTCAGTGTTTGTGTGTGTGTGTGTGGTGTGGCAGCGAATACCGGTTCCGTGGACTTCAAACGGAAACAGACATTTCTTTTAGTTTCAGTTTCTGTTTCGTTTTCAGCTTTTCCTTTTTTTTTCAGCAGGATATCCGGCCATGAAATGTAAACGTCGCAGTCGCCCAGTTTTTCTCAATATTTTCCCATTTTTTTTTTTTTGTGTTTTTGTTTTCCTAATGAAAATGTCAAACGGTCGGCCACAGTCGCGAATTAATT